AGGATCTGAATACCTCTCTCACACACACACACACACACACACACACACACACACACACACACACACACACACACACACACACACACACACACACACACACACACACAGGCTTTTCTCTGATGTGACCTTCAGCACATGCAGGCTGGCATTCAATTACCGCCCTGTCAGTGGCCCATCCAGCCAGTGGCTGCACGTCCTTGAGAGTCTCTCTCCAGCCTCCGTCCAGTCTATATTCCATTACATCCACCACATCGGGAGCTCTGTCCGGCATAAAGCAGCGCTCACATCCTCAACACTGTGAGGGCACACACACAGCATGATGTATCCTTTTCAAAATCTCTAACTGCAGTGAGCAATGGTTATTCTCGCTCACACTCTGAATCAAATCCGAGCAGGAAGTAAATATTAGATTTAAGTTTTTATCGGGTGAGATATTGTGTTGTTGTAAAAAAAAGAAACCCTAGCCCTGAGAAATTCAGCACTGCTCGTCTGAAATAGTTTTTCATTGATCTCCCTTGCTTTTTATGTTTTCGCAATATTGTTCAGTCTGTTATTGGACGTCATTGCTGTCCAAAAATGTTGCTCGGATCCGCTTGATTATCGCCCAAAATGTCCTTCAGGGTCTTTTTGACTGTATTGACCTGTGATCATTACTGAAAGGGAAAGTAGGAGAGCCATCTGTATTCAATGTTACAAGGTGAAAGCTCAGAGTTGAGTCTCCTGCTGCTTGTGTCCCTTCTCTGTTCTGCTGCGATGATTCATGTCTGCACAGATATTGATTGACCTCAAAGAGATATCTCTCATTTGTTTATAATTTTCTTACATCACATTGTGTGTATCAGTACATTTGTCTTGGCTGCTACTCTGAGTTCTTAATGCTTTCTTTTGACATTTGGGCTCTGCTAATATTTAAGATGTATCTTGTAAAGCAAAACCCCTGTTGGTTATGTGCTCTATAAATAAAGATTATTATTAATATTCACCAAGTGAGCTGTTACAAAAGCAAAGCTCTCACTGGAACTGTAATGTTAAGTGGATTCATTGGTGACAGCTTTGATAATCAGATAATAACATTTTTAAAAACAACCCACCCAATACTCTTTTTTTTCCAGCCTCTAATGCAAAGATTTGCTAGTTTTCTTTTTTGTATCTCTATTCTCTTTCTTAACATGAGACACAAACTAAATGGTTAAATGTATTGTCTCATTATTGTACTTTAAAGCACACATTCTGGTTGAGCCGAAAAATAGATTTAGAAATAAAACAATCATGATCAATCTAATATAAGAACTAGATTTGACAAAGGCCAATCCAATTTGAATGTTTAGTTGACCTTTGACTTTTGAGTGGATTAATAAAGATTTGTGTGCCTTTTAGATTTATGGGAGGTTAGATAGATTATTTCCATTATTCGTTATTATTATTTCTCAATTACTATTTGGTCTGAAGGTTTTACTATCAGAGATGTTTAACTTCTTTATACTTTGACTTTCTTGAACACTTATTTATGGTTTCTTATAGGCCCATGAGGGCTGGGCAAAGTTATATATAAGACAGTAATATTTATAAAATAAAAGATATTCATAAGATGCTGAATTGATATAGTATGAAGACAAATGTATGTTACACTGATTGGAATTATTTGCTTTTTTAGACTTATTTCTTTTGGTAAACTATCTGATAGTTTCACTTCACAAAAGAAACATTTTTAACAAACTTTTATTATGACAGAAGATTATAGATCTTTTGATGTTAGACTGTTTGTGTGACCAAACCTGCCTGCTTAAAAAAAACATTTACAGGCATTTTTCAGTCTTTTCTGACATCCTTTAGACTAAACTATAAATCTAGAAAATAATCAAACTATAATAATCAAACTCGCTGTGGCACTGCCTGGTTAACCTATTAAACAATGAAGAATGTATTTTGCTTTTGTACATGAACTGGCTGCCACGGAGGAAGATTTATCTGACAGCTGACTGAATTGTTAGCCTTCAGGAATTCATGATCATAGCAGTAAATCCACTCTGTGCAGAGTATAGATACATAAAACATATTGCTCTCCTGGATTTATTAGCTGTCTGATTTATGCAGATCTTACTCAACAGATTTCCACCTCTGTATTTGGAGGGCTTCAGCTTCAGATGACATTTACAGTACCAAAGCAATCATTAATTGCTATCATCTCTTAACTGTATTGATCCCTTTTATATCTACAGTCCTGTTTAGTTAGAACATCTTAAGCATGGACGCTTGTATCACGTTTATGAGTTGTTGAGAGCATAAATAATTCCCTTTAAAAATCCCCCATAAGCCCTTCGGGGTCACCGTGTCTCCATTTAGGAAATTAGAAAGGCAAAAGCGGTGACCAAACCTCTGCTGATTGTCTACTCATGAAGATCCTATAAAGGAATTGGAGAATTATTAGCACCTCCAATATATTATCTCAAGTCATAAAAGTCTGTTCTCTGTTCAAGACGTGCTCCCACTGCCACCCAGATCTAAATATAATGCCAGCCAGGAACCTGAGCCTCTAAACTTCTGCAACCTGAAGCGTCTGCAGAAAAACAATGGATTAATGCACAGTTGTGCCACACGGTGTGACCCTGTGCCACATGTCAAGTGACTCTACTTACTCTACCAAACAATGTGTCCAGTGTGTTTCATTATAGATGGGAGCCTGATCTCTGCTTCCTTCTGAAAGCCTTTGAGCATGAGTAAAGAAAAAAGACACTCGTAAAGGCTTTGCCATAATGTCTTATTCAACACCTTTGGTCAGGTACGCACGTGCGTGTTTCCCTGAACATTTACAACAGTTGTCTGACTGTGTTCAAACATTGTTTTAAGACACCCACAATGAGGATTCACTGATGATAATAACTTAAAGGTGAGGTAGGTAATTTTGGAGAAACCAGCTCGAGTGCGCTAGAATTTGAAAATACACAGCCGGAAAAAATCTGCCACTTCCTTACAGAGCCCCTCCTCCAACACACACGAACGCGCACATGACCAATGAGGGCAGGAGATAATTTTGTGCACAGATGGAAGGCTGACAAGCAGGTAGGCCATCCAGTTATTTTAGCCGGGCCGGCTCAAATGATTGGTCGTGCTTTTTACAGCACTACGGCTTCCACAGATGACATTTTTTTATGGAGTTTTTGTCAGCACTTAAGATATTCATTGCTATCGGGATGTTAAGAGCATTCCATGGAATATAACAAAAAGTGTATCTCGAGCCGGTTTCTCAAACGTACCTACCCCACCTTTAAATGAACTTGTCCAAAGACATTCATCAATAAAAGAGCTTATGTCTTTTCATAGGTGGTTATAATAATCTTTTTGAAAGGTGTTATAAATGTGCTCAGGGGTGAGTTTTCAGTGTTTTTGCAAGCCTGAAAGGATAGGTGTAGCAGATTCTTGATTATTTTTTTGCTTATTACTGTACGGGACAGGTTTCCTCAGAAGTGTATTAAAAGGCTGCAGGGCAGAGCATCATCTCTTTCTGCAACAATCAACTCCCCTCTCGTTCAATCTCAGCAGTCTTTATGCTTGTTGACACCCTACACTGTGCTTCATCAAACACTGCCTCCCCCTCAGTTTCATCTTAATGAAAAATGCTGCTTTATTACCACCATGATTTAGACACTCCAGAACAGCCTCTGTGGCTTGTAGTTGTCAATTAGCTCCCTTATGAGATCTCTGACATGTACAGCATTTACATCGTATTTGTTGATGCATTTGTTATTTTAATATTTGTGGTTATTTTGTTTGATATAGTATGGTAATCAGGCTCAGGTTCAATGAGTCATGCACATCAGCTTCATTTGCTAGGTTTCGCTCATTAAAGCTCAGAGTGGCATATCCTAACTTTGTCATTTCTAGGCAAAGAGGCAAAATAGCAAGGTATATTCCAGGTCTGAGGGCCTTAACTGGGAGACCACATCTCCACTTAAAAAGCGACATTTGATTAAAATTGCTCTGTTTCCATCCAAAATCTGTGCTTGCTGAAATGAATAAAGTGGATTAACTTTATCGCAGGACAATGCAGATTAAACTGGTAAACACAATCGCTAAGTGATGCATACAGTATGGCCTGCAGGGGTGGAGTTGAAGCTTCATTTTTCAGCCAGAAGGACTAGGTGAACATATTTGGGTTTTAATTGCAGTGTACACAGCTGAAAAAGTGCAGATCATACCATTTCCATACGACAGTAGCAAAACATCATTACAGACTAGTGCTGCTTGAGCCAATAATACCTCCAGGTCCCAACGTGTGCTTTTCTTGTAAAAATGTGGCCTGCTAATGCAAATGATGCTGCTAATGAAAGCTTTAAGTTATTCAGCTGGTGTTTCTCCGGAGTGATACGTCAGCATGTCTCTTGATCCCCGAAGCTATTTTTTTTTTCTTCCCCCCTGGGCGTGAGCTGAAGCCATGCTTGCTCTGACGGTGGAGGTACAGCCGATTCAATGAAAGCGGGGGTGGCAGCTGGAGAAAATCCATTCCCAGAGTGAGAGTTCTGCTGAGGCAGGTATGCCGACCTTTCAGTCATCTGATAGGTCAACGCTCGGCAGCGTGCCTTGACATCGGTGGCTAATCGCCAGGCCTGGTGGTGCTCATAGTAAAGCTTATCTAAGCAGCAGCCAGTGATGATCAATGGGACCCCTCGGCAGCTCATTTATAGTACAGTATGGCACAGCCACAAAGTTCACCAACAGATGAAGGTGACAGATGACCATGGGGTGGTCTACCATGTGCATGTTCAAAGTTTCTGAAGCAAAATGTAGTTGTAATCCATTGTGCAGTAGTTGGCTCAATTGCCTTTGAATGACACCCAATCATTGCTTGTCAATTAGTCTTGAATGACTCAGGTGCAATGAGATGTTGCTGCTTAGCGTGCAGAAGAATATGCTGGCCTCTTGCTCTTTAGCATGTCAGACCACAGCCCTGATGAGATAACCTCTAATTTTGTTGTTTGTGGTAAACTTCTTGTTCGTCCCAGGTGCCCACGGAGTGAGAGAGGAGCCTCGGTTTGTGACGGCGCGCGCCGGAGAGAGCGTGATCCTGGGGTGTGACGTGTCCCCTCCCCTGGATGGCCAGCAGCCCCCCTATGTGGTGGAGTGGTTCAAGTTTGGAGTGCCTATTCCCTTCTTCATCAACTTCCGCTTCTACCCTCCTCATGTGGATCCAGAGTACACTGGTAAGACAACTGTTGACATGGTAAAGATAAAGCAAAGTCATCTTGAGACATTATGAAAAGTTCTATCTGTAACAGATTCAGTTTAAAGGTCCCATGTCATGCTTTTCCGGTTATTACACGTCCCCTTGTGTGTTATGAAGGTTTTTCTGCATGTAAACGGTCTGCAGAGTCAAAACCCTCAAAGTACACCCTGTAGCGAGTCAAACTAACACAGAAAATACCTCCCCAAAACGCCTCGTTGGAGATACGTCACTGTCCATTGATTCTTCCGGGTACCGCATGATGTCATGCGTTACCCGGAACCAAATGGACCAATCCGTGGAGCCGTTACGTTACGTCCGCGGAGCCGTTACGTTAAGCCCCCGCTGATTGGTCCAAATTGACCAATCCACGGACTTCCTCACACACACACTCAGTGCAGGCAGCTCTGCTGATTTCTCCTCCCTGGCTGCAGGCTGATAACAGACAGTTGGGATCGCGGCAAAATTCTCTCTGCAGACCCATTCTCACAGCGTTTATCAACCTTTTTCTTACTCAATATCAAGCCACACTTATTGTTTTTACTTGGGCTGTGACTTTGTGTGTGCTCAGGATGAGTTTGGCTGTGTTTCGCTGTCGCTAAACAAGGAAACTACACCTCCACGGAGCTCAGCGTGATTCACAACGTCCCGACCAATCAGAGCACACTGTGCTCACAGGGAGGGTGGGGGCTGGAGCTATTGGAGCNTACCGACTGACGAAGGACATTAGGTGTTAGTTGAGGACAAGAAAGAGCATAACAACCAGCGCTCAACATCTACACTATCCGACATAAATCATATAGTGAGGCCTAAGAAGTTACTTATCATTCACACAATAACAGCTGGCGTAGAGGGAGAGTATCAGTCGACGGCAGCACAGACAGCTGGCAGACGATCTAGACCATGGCCTCTACTGTAATCACACACACACACACACACACACACACACACACACACACACACACACACACACACACACACACACACACACACACACACACACACACGCTGGACCTTCTAACCTAATATCCCACCGCACTCCACCCTCTGCACTGGCTCTTGTCTCCCTTAACTTCCAAACTGTCAATTCTCCACCATCAATCCATGTCTGATAGCTGCTTGCCTGCCACCAAACACCCCCCCCCTTCTCCTCCCCTTCCTCCCCCTTTCTAACCTCTGCTCCCACAGCCTCCACCCTGTAATACAGCACAGCAGGTCTGCACTCAGCTCCAGGAAATCAGGGCCGTCTTTTTCTTTCCAGGAAAAAAGAAGAACAGAGTTCACCTCTGGGATCCACAAGAAGAGAAAATAAGCAGTAGAGACAGGGAGGGGGCAAAGGGGAAGTACTGGCAACGATTTAATCATTATTTGGTTTAGTTCAAAAAGTACAAGTACAGTAGAAAAAGCAGCATTTAAGAAAGCTAGACTTATCAACTGTTTTGTATTCTGTGTGAAAAATTACTTAAAGGTCCCATGTCATGCTTTTCCGATTATTACCCGTCCCCTTGTGTGTTATGAAGGTTTTTATGCATGTAAACGGTCTGCAGAGTCAAAACCCTCAAAGTACACCCTGTAGCGAGTAAAACTCTAACACAGAAAATACCTCCTCAAAACGCCTCGTTGGAGATACGTCACTGTCCATTGATTCTTCCGGGTACCGCATGATGTCATGCGTTACCCGGAACCAAATGGACCAATCTGCGGAGCCGTTACGTTAAGCCCCCGCTGATTGGTCCAAATTGACCATTCCACGGACTTCCTCACACACACACAGTGCAGGCAGCTCTGCTGATTTCTCCTCCCTGGCTGCAGGCTGATACCAGACAGTTGGGATCGCGGCAAAATTCCGTCTGCAGACTAGGGATGTTAAGATTCACCGATTCGCATCGGTGCACCGGCATAAATGTTCAAGATGTGAGTGCACCGGTTGAAAGAGTGCACATCGGCTACAGTTTGGGTTGAACTCGCAATGCATCGATTGTCGCGTCTCTTTGCATCAGTAAAAACCGGTTAAAACTGATTCATTCATATTATCCACTCATCCACTCTTGTCAGCACTCTGCAGAGACGATCTTTGATTCTCCACTACTGTGCACGAGAGCCGCGTGCACGCGTCACAGTTATCAACAAGCATGGAAGTCGAGGAGAAAGAGATACACAGCGCACCGAAAAATAAATATAAATCAAACGTTTGGCAACACTTCGGATTCTTCAAAAATGACGGACAACTTGATAAATCACAAGCAATTTGCAAACAATGCCGTGCCGCTATAAAATACACGAGCAGTACCACGAATTTAGCGACGCACCTAAAGAGGCGACATGGGGTGAATATTACGTCTGCGGCTGTCTCCCTATCTTCCTTGGATTCAGCTGAAGCTAACCCGGCTATCCCTGGCGGCAGCAAGACTGGTGAGCAGCAGCATATCACAACTTTTTTTCATGCTCCGCTGGCTAACAGTTCTACCCGCTCCAAGGCAATAGCTGACGCCATCGCCTTCTTTATCTGTAAAGATATCCAGCCGTACAGTGTCACGGAGAATGAGGGCTTCCTACACCTCCTCCACATTTTGGAGCCCAGGTACCATGTACCAAATAGGAGGTTCTTTACCGAGAAACAAATCCCTGCTCTTTATGACAAAGTGAGAAGAGAGTTAGTTGACTCGCTGAGTAATGCCCAAAGAGTTGCAATTACAGTTGATGGCTGGACGTCTTGCGCCACTGACTCATATGTCACGGTCACAGCACACTATATTGATGACGAGTGGGTATTGCAAAACCATGTTCTGCAGACCAGAGTGTTCAACGAAGCCCACACAGGAAATAATCTAGCAATGTTACTGCAAGAAGTTTGCCGCGAGTGGAAAATTGAAGACAAGAATCCAGCGTTGGTCACAGGTAATGCTAGAACTGGACTGGACTTTGATGGTCGCTACACATATCTCCAAGACCTCCTCCACTATGCCTCAGCACTGGATCCCCGCATCAAAGACCTGGCTTTCCTGGATGACAATGAAACTAAGGACATGATATTCATGAAGATAACAGCAGAGGTGGTGAAGATGGATGGACAGGTAAGAATATACTACTCAATATATTGTAACTAGTGTCTGTCTCACTTTCACTGTTATTTACCTGTNCTCTTATTGTGCGCGGAGTGCAAGTGATGCATTGCCATTCAGGAGGTGTGAGTCCTTTGTTATTATTCTCCCTTCCTGGATCCCTGCGCGTTGAGCCTTGGAATATATTGGCGTGATTTCATTTGAACGGGGGAAACAGCGCATAAACGAGAGGCATTTCTGTATTGCCAATGTGTACGGGATAGAGGGTGTTTTGCTTGTTACAATGAAGAGAGAAGTCTCTGTCAATGTTTTTTCTGTAAGTGGTTAAAGCAAAGTATTATTAGTATTACTTTCTTTTTTTTTTTTAAAGTTTTTGCTATTTTATCTGTATGCGTCAATTGACAAATGTTCTATTACAATACAATTAAGAAGTACTTTTTTAGATAATTACAATATTACACTATATTATTTGGATTTTTACAACAGCATTACCAATAGCAAAGATAGTATTAAATATAATTAAAATAGAACACCACAGGTTATACAATACGTTTAAAGGCATAGGCCAGTACGTAGTAGATGTGAATATGAGCATGCTCAATTTATTAGACAGCCATAGAGATATTTTTTTTATCTTTCGATTTATTATAAATATAACACTAGCATTAGAGGTATCTACTTTATAATTCAATATCTTGCCTGACTGGTAAGCCAATTGTAATTTTGAGATTTCGAATCCGGACTGGATGTTTGAAATCCATCTTGATTATGTTGGTTAGTGAGTGACTATTTTTTCTGTTGAGCAGCGTTTCTGGAATCAGGTCTGCAGCCTTTCTGGATTGGAGTTTATCTTTTGCAGCCTGTGAAACACTCTATTTGTCAAGTATCAGAGTCGGACTATAGATAGGAATATGCATTGGACAGTTTTGATATGCTTTTTTCGTATTAAGTCCTGTTTGACTATTAGGTTTTTTGTAATCCTCTGATATGTTACTTCAGGCTGTACTCAGTGCATGTGATCAAAGATTGGCTTCACCATAGCTTGTTTATCTTAATCTATGGGTTTGTGAGGTTTTTGCGTTGGTTGCTGACACAACTGGTATCGCCGTTTTCTCATTTCTCGAGTTTTTTTTTTCTGTTTTATAGGTCTTATGTCCAACTTGATGACTTTTGTTTGCATTGCTTCACGGATGCTCGATGAGCGCATAATAAACTGTTAAGGTGATTTGACTCTACGTGTGTGTTGAATTTTAATTTTTTTCTTTTGTGGGGGTGGCTTTGTCCTCCCAAAAATCAGTTTTAAGTCCAGTATTGAAGTCAAATAAGACGGTGTGTAAAACTAATCTAGCCCAGCAATAAAAAGTAGCAACTTTTTTGATGTTTAACCTAGGCGGGTAGGTAACGGGCATCCACTGGATAATAACTTGATCGATGTATGTTTATGGTTGCTGAATATATCTGTTTTTACCCGTAACTGATGCAGTTGTCACGTTCTTTAATGTTTGTTCTTCTGTGTAAAGTCAAGGTTTGTGACATGTTTGCAATGAAAGTTGTGGGGCGCTGAACTGTTCCTTTTGAATCTTTTGAATATATGATAGTAATTAACGTTGGTCTTCTCAAATTTTGAAAGGAGGGTGAAGCAATCATCTTGATGAACATTCATCATTACTCCTCCAGCGTTTTTTATGTTTATTTTTTTTTTTTTTTTGTTTATTTTTTTTTGTTTTGGTTATTTAGGTATATGTATTTTTTTTTTTTTTTTTTATAAAAAAATTGTTTATTTAATAAATTAAATATATAATAATGATATCTCAGTGATTTTGACAGCTAAAGGAAAGTATAATTTTGTGAATATTGTTTAATAATTCATATTTTATCATATGCATATGTATCATCACATCGATGAGACTAGTTAATGTTTAACGTATCTTATTGCAGGCAGGTCTTCATAGATTTTGGTTACTTCATGCTGGTCTAGAGATCTGCAGACTTAAAATTCATTTCAGTTATTGTTCAGTTAGAATTCATTAAATTTAAGCTGCCACTTCTATTTGTATATAAATTTTAGTATTTAAGGCTTTTACTGAGTGTGCCACAATGTCATCCTAAATGTTTTTAGTTAAAATAGTTATTATATTGAAAGTGTGCTTTCACCAACTAACATTAATTGATATTACTAGCGATAAATCAGCATATACCCTTCTGCCTAGGTGTGGAGGCCTAGCCCAATGAATTATTGTTTCTAGATTCTCGTCTTCCTGGTTGTGCCCAGCTATCTTCGTCTTCTGTGCTCACTTCGAAATCGAAAATGTGGATAAGCATGAAAAACACTAAAATGAACAGATACAGTTGTTATTTTTGGACTACACTATCAAGTGGTTGTTCATGTTTGTGTGTATAGATATAGTTAGCAATCACATGGGCTTAGTATACATTGTAATTTATAATTGTTATCGTACATTATTACATGAGTGTTATTTATTATATACAACTGTTGAAGTTTGATTAGAGTGCTTTGAACATATATCTTTATTTTAAGTTGATGACGTACTTCCTCGTGGGACCGAGTAGTTCATTTAGTATTATTGGCTAATTATCTGGGTTCTAAAGCGTGTTGTGCCGCACATGCAGGAGTTTTTTAAATCTCTGTTATCGCTGCGTGTATTTTATGTATTTATTGTAGCAGAACAGCAACGTTCAGCTCCTTTAATTTGTAATATTTGCTATAGTGCATAGAAGCTATAGGACGTTTAGATCTATCGTCTGGTATTAAATTAACTTTATTAACGTACAAGATTTATCATAGCAGCCCATGTAGTATATATAATTTTTAACAAATGATGAATTACAGCAACATGTCAATATATCCATTATTACAGCTCCGTGTGGCTGGCAGTTAAAGGCGATATGGGTCCGTTTCTATATTTGCATCCATGGTAAAAGGTAGAATACTCATGTAGTTATTGAAACATCTGCTCACATCACATGAACGTGCTGGGCAACACACTCTTCACTAATCCTATAAACAGTCCCAGGATGCGATCGCTGGTCATGTGTGTCCCGAGGCGTGCAGTTGGTTGACGATCGCTTTTCAGCTTGCATCATAAAGGGATGCAAATAGCTTTGCAACTGATTGCCAATGTATTCCCATCTGCGGCCGGGGATTTTGACGCTCATGGAAGTCACGGGCATTCGTTTGTGTCAGCCCTCGGCTGGCCCCTTAAAAGGCAATGTGTACCGTCCATTCCCATTGAATAACGGAGAATATGTACACCCGGAAAGCTAGGTATTCCCCTTACTGTCGATTGATGTTGACAGGGAATAGTTCTGGCATCTATCTGCATTCGACTAAAAAATAACTCATCGGACAAAAAACAACCAGATTACCTTTGGTTAATTACACAACTTGATTGGTTTAAATTGTGTTTGCATGCTTTTGTATTTTTTTCCCCTTCGATTCGGAGAAACAAATAATTTTTGTGGAGTAAAGGATGGCAGAAGACCACTACACTACCGAGGAATCCCCAGCCATCGTTTAGGACTACACCATGTGCTCCTGTTTGACAAACCCCGTGATTAGTTCTCAAGCTCTGTGATTGGTTGACCTCCAACTGCATTCCATATGAAAAAAAAAGTTCGCAAAAGATAAAAATCATACTTTATTTCCAGCAGCGCTTTACTGTACTTCTTTGAAAGTCCATCACATGGAATGCATTGTAATAAATGGTTCGGCTGCATTAAATATTACACATCTGTCCATAGTTCTTTATTTTTTATTTATCTAGCAGACGATCGGGCTCAGAATAGACCGGAAAGCTATTATTTTACCTTCAGTTTGAATTTCACAATAAAGTTAGTAGTAATATTCTTGTCTTTGATATTATTGTTTATTATTAACTACTAGACCGCTGGGTGTCATGTTTAAGACATCTTTTCTGTGTTGCTGTGGATTTTTTTTCCTATCGCTTTGTGTGTTACAAATAATCAAAACAATAACAAAATATATCCGTCAAACTTAAAACCAAGAAACAGCAAGTATTATTTTATTTTGGTTAACACTGTAAACTTGACAGATTTTTAACCACAACCACCTACTGGTTAAAGCACGTTTATTACACGTTTAGAGTAATGCAATGCAGGTAGAATTGTGTTGCTTTATAATGACTGTGTCATGCTTTCCGGTTATTACCCCCGTCCCCATTTGTCCTTGTATGTTATGAAGGTTTTTATGCATGTAAACGGTCTGCAGAGTCAAAACCCTCAAAGGACACCCTGTGGCGAGTAAAACTCTAAAACAGAAAATACCTCCCCAAAACGCCTCGTTGGTAAAACGTCATTGTCCATCGTTTACTTCCTGGGTGCTGTGTCGTAGAAGCACCCAGTAGCCGGATTGGCCGCAAATGGGCCAATCCGTGGAGCCGTTACGTTACGTCCGCGGAGCCGTTACGTTAAGCCCCCGCTGATTGGTCCAAATTGACCAATCCACAGACTTCCTCACACACACTCAGTGCAGGCAGCTCTGCTGATTTCTCCTCCCTGGCTGCAGGCTGATAACAGACATTTGGGATCGCGGCAAACTTCTCTCTGCAGAACCATTCTCACAGCGTTTACCAACCTATAAACCTTTTTCTTACTCAATATCAAGCCACACTTATTGTTTTTACTTCGGCTGTGACTTTGTGTGTGCTCAGGATGAGTTTGGCTGTATTTCGCTGTGTATCGCTAAACAAGGAAATCACACCTCCACGGAGCTCAGCGCGATTCACAACGTCCCGACCAATCGGAACACACTGGGTTCACAGGGAGGGGGGGGGGGGCAAAAGCTGCAACGAGCCGTCTAGTGGAGAGAGTGAATACTGCTGAATACACATACTTTACAGAGATGCTGTATGCGAAACAAATGTGAGTTTGGAAAATTGCACAGTATAAATCTATTTTAGTATACCTCAACAATGGAATTATGATCATTGGAAATGGCCATGACATGGGACCTTTAAAATGCCTTTTTCTTAATGTCTTTCATTTTTGTAAAGCACTTTTGAATGTGTTATATTTTATGAAAACATTTAAATATTAAGAGTATATATACAAAATAGGAGAAAAGTAGAAGGTCAATGATATAAATATAGAATAGAAAATATCAAGAAGATACTGTAAATGGTATCTAGCCTTAAGATAAATGTTTCCACAAGAATAAAAAAAAAATGTTGGCCTCCGATTACTGTAAGGCTGTTACACAACTTTGTGTAAGACATTTATATTTTCAGAATGGCTTCTATTACTGCTACTTAAAAGTATTAAAACTAGTTATCAAATTCTAACCCCAAGAATTTGCACTAAAGCTGATTACATTTCTAGAATGCTTGACATGAGGGGCTTGCAGTTTTAACATTTGGGTATCTGGAAAATTCACAGTACAGTTATGCTTGCCTTTGTCGACACTTAAGAAATGTCATAAAAGTTTAAAAGATGTCCTTGGTCCATGACTCAAAAAGACAAAGGGTGTAGTTACGATTTTGAGCAGAGGGAAGGATACCACACTGTAATTACAGAGTCAGGCTTTAAATTAACTTTATAAAGCTATTTCAGATAGGATCTAATGCAATTTTAATGACGCCCAAGGGGAAATTGGGTAGACTCAAGGGGTTTGAAGCATGAGGGTCTTATCATGCAAATCACTCAGACCACACACTGCAAAGTGAGGTCACAATGAACTCAAAACAACTGAGAAAGGTCATATGTTCGAGGAAGTTGAGAGCCATGTGCAGATTTTCATACCGATGACTAGGATTCGCGTGCTGGCAGTGATGCTTGTGACCACATTGGTGGCTACACACTCCCATTCTCCGTGGTCCTCCTTGCTGAGGGACAGAAACTGTAAGCTGCCACTGGGTAGGATGTTGTGCTTACTCTTGCTCGGCTTCCCCACCTTTAATGGACATGGAAACTACAGTTACATGGTTAAAAAATGTAAATGCACATTTGCTGACAAGATTCAATGGGAGTGAATTCATGCTGTTATTGTGAATTGTACCTTTCTCCAGGTAATGGATGGTATGTCAGGGTCTCCAGAAGCAGCACAGGGGATAGTAAGCTCTCTCCCAGCCTCCTGGCGATACTCCCCCCCAGGCCTCACATTAAAGTAAGGGGGATCCTGGAGAAAACATACAAACACAAGACCTATTATGCAGTCTTCTGGGCACATCAGTGTAACATGACGCAAACAGAACAAATAGGAGCAGTGATGTACCTTTAGCACCAAAGTGGCAGGGGGGGACATGCCCATGGTACCCAGGGCGTTGTAAGGCACACAGGTGTAGGTGCCCAGGGAGTCTTCTGTTGCCTCCGCCACCCTGATACTGCCATCCTGCATCAGGCTCCAACCGGGGTACTGAAAGACAAGCGGACATCATGATTACAGGCCCCTTTTTTTTCTTTTTTTTTTTAAAGTGGATGCTTATGTAATACAGGCCTGCTGTCAACAGCAGGGCAACATATTGTGTGACCTCAGTGACAGTAGATTAGATAAACAGAGCAGCAGATGGAGCGCTCTGAGCAGAGAGATACTTTATCTACTTGACACTTGTTTGAAAATGAAGGAATTCTTCTGAAGAAAAGGACAGCTTCAATTATCTGTTACACTGAAATCTAAGGACAGTGATAAAAGCAGTATATTGATCCATTACAATAATTTAAAAAAACTCACTATATGCTTTAAAGGTGACATATTATGCACATTTCTGCTTTATTTAAAGTGTGACAGTAAATGTATTGTAACACCAAGAGGAGACTAATGAGCACTAACCTTCTCTACTCTGAGGGGATAGCCGTCTTTCTCCCATTTCACTGATGTCACAGGCGGGTTGGCGTCCACCGGGCAGCGGATGACGCCTGGCAGTTTCCGTGGGACGTAGATGACAGGCGGCATGTTGATCACACGGGCAGGGTCTGCAGGGAAAGTAAAGATCTGTGTCAGTGATCCGAGATGCATCATCAATTTAGTTTGATGTAATACAGAAAACAACAAACAGGTTAATTGCTAGGAATAAAAGAGGTGAAGTTAAAAAAGGTAAGTACTAACGGCTGTACAAGGATGTAGTGTCGGCCGGTTAGATTACACATGTATGATTCAAATTACCTCTTATCTTCACATTTGTATTTACACATACTACACTTAATCTATGTATGTTGGCTTACCAATGTTTTATTCTCTTAATGTGTTTTTTGTAAATATAATTTTTGACTGATTGTTTTCATCATATTTTTACATTTATACTCTTTAAAAGTACTGTACACGTATTTTATAGTACGAAAGTATTTGACCTTAACACATCAAACCTACATATTAAAAAGTGGTTATATTTTCAGCTTTTTATTATTGTTTCATATTACAACATGGAATCAAGATTTTAAAAGTTATTGAAAGACCCTTAATAAATTACTCTCAAATGATTTTTAGCCAAACAGTAGGTTAACCTTTTATCTCTGAGATGCCTCATATAAACAGAGCCAAATAATGTTTTTTTTGCCGCATCCTGGCCACTGCTTTAATCCTTGTCCGCTGTATTTCAGTGTAGTGATGAAATCAGTGGCTGCAGTGCCTCTGAATCCTCTGCTCTCTCTCATACTGTAGCACAGTAATCATTGAGCAGCGGAAACTTGGGAGAAATTTGGCTCATCACCCGAGGATTTGACAGAACCTCAGATGGGCAGCAGTGACGTTTCTCTGTCTCACCCAGAGCTGATGAGCAGAAAGGTCACCATTTTATTTTTGGTGGAACCAGATTCAAAAGAGACAGGAAAAAAATGGAGTCTGAGGTCGAGGCTGTCTCCATCTTTGTATTCAGGATTGAAGCTGGAGGCGGGATAGATAATAATTGTATCATTAAAATCCACTCCGAATATGGAAATGTTTAAGAGGCTGGGTCCAAACCAACTATGTGACTCTCTGTCATGTCTGACCTTGAAATCCAAGAAGGTTACTTTGCATTACAGTGGCAGAGCAGCGCTGCCAAATACAGCAGCCTCCATATTACTGTTCCCTCACACTCCTCTTCACACAGCTCGCTGTACCGTCTCCCCGCCCCTCCCCCATCCACTTTGTTGCCAGGGTAACACTCACACTGAACAGTCAGGTAGGCTGATGCCGAGGGGGAGATACCGAGGCTGTTGCTCGGACTGCAGGTGTATTTCCCAGCATCCTCTGGCTTGACCCGGAAGATGATAAGCGTGCCGTCGATTAGGATGCGCACTCGGAGCTTCAGATCACTGCAACGACACACACACATCGTGTTACAGAAACACACCATCAGGACAGGGCACATATCTATTTGCTCCTTGTGCTGAATTACATGAAGGAGCCATAAGGGAGCAGCAGAGAGTCAAACAGCACCTGCCTCTCATAGAAAGAACACAGAGTACAGAGCAAGACGTTCAAATAAATTACTACAGCCCTCATGGGTCCCCCTTGACGGCATTTAAAATGACTGTGATGATGGAGCACATATTCTGTTTTTTGTTGTTGTTGTTTTTTTGTTTTGTTTTGTTTTTAAATGGAGCTGCTTTCCTTTTCATGCCACGCAATTCAAGCTCAAACTGAATATGTCCAGAAATGAAACAAAAACACTTTTAAGAAGATCCTGATTTATAAAGGTTCGTAATGGTAATTAATAAGAACAATAGTTCTGTAACCAGGTTGTGAGAAATCCCTTTAACCGATTGGACCTTACAAAATCCAATCGACAATTTATTAAGCATAATTTATGGATTACGAACACTCATATAACTGCATTACAACCTAATACAGTAAATATGTGTTACAAATCAGAAACCCAACTGTTGCTCCTAATGGCTTATAACGGATCTGCAGAGTATAAGTTAATTAATTTTTAATTCAAATTAAATTTCCCAGTTGGGAACTCGTTTTTTACAGATTATTATGAATTATTTTGAATGCACCACTTATTTTGCCATGTTAACTAAACATAATTTGTGTATTCGCCCTGTGAATCATATCTGTTCCAAAAATATAATTCTTTGTTGGCCTGTGTTCCTATCTACCAAGTTTCATTAAATCACAAATATATATATATATTTTTTTGTAATCCTGCTGTAAGACAAACCAAGCCAAAAATATAACCTCCTTGGCAGAGTTAAAAATACAAAATAAAGTAATAAAACTAACAGATACTGTTACTACTTTTTGAACTCCTACACCCACAGATAGGCCTTAAACCTGCCTCCTCACATAAAAAGAAGAATTAGATCTGTCATTTCAGTGCCTGCTTTTGTGGTAGTCCTTTAGACACTTGTTTTTCGCTGCCTGTCAAACTCCTGTTCACTTGTTCTTCCTTTTCACTTGTTCTGTCTCTTGTCCGCTGTACAGCCCCCTCAGACTCTAAAGACCTGCCTGTGGAGGTCCTGGCTGCGCTTCAGAGCATCGCTGCATGAGAGGCATATGATGACACAAGGTCTGAGTCATGTGATATTGTCATCAGAGCGCACTGGCACTGTCCAGACAAACCCCCCCGCCAGGCGAACTATTACTGCCTCTGGGGCTGCAGGAGGACAGGACACCGGCACACACACACATGAATATTGACACACAAACACATCACAGAGACACATGATGTCACTCACATCACAAAGGTTTGAAATAAATGCAGCCTGTGTGGTGATTTAAGTGCCAGTAAAAAAGTAATACATTCTTAACTAAGATGTTTCTCTGAGCTTCAATACAAAAGTGAACTTGAGCATAACTTTACTTCTTAAAGTAGACATTATCCTCTTCCCAGAACCAGGTGTAGGTCAGGTTGCCAGGATACGCCTCCGCTTGGCAGGTGAACAGTGCATTCTGGGATATGTTGACAGTGACGTTTTCTGGTGGAGAGACGATGTATGGAGGCCCTGAGAGAAAGAGAAACAATGTGTATTAGTTTTAGTTGTCTACTAGTTTTGTTGTAAAGCTAGTAGACAGTTTTTTGGGGGAATAAGCTTTACACAGTGGCTAATTTACAACTTGACTGCTAATTTGGCTAACATGGAGCCATATTAGCATTTATTCAGAGTTATGTATCTGCTGTCTTGATGAATGAAAGTCAAATATTTACTTTAATTTAAGGCTTCTGTTTTGGTCTTCATGAATTCCTGAGGAAAATATGCTCCACAATGTTCAGCAGCTAATGGCTAACTGTATCTGTCTGTCGTCTGTCGTCTGTTGTTGAGCATGAAGTGTACACAGTGGTCGAGTCAACCAAAACAGTTCAAATTCAGACGGTAAAATCAAAACATGTATAAAATGAATACATATATTTAGAAAAAACCTAATGACCATTTGAAAAACAGTTATGTACAGTGTTATGCAGTGCATTCTTCATAAAACGTCCAATACACAATACATATGCAACTGGACTGCAACTGAAATATCACTTGGGATTTAGCTCATCACTGACTTCAATTGAAAAAATGTCGGAAAAAGAAACAAAAATAACCATTTCAACAAACATACAATAAAATAACATCAGATTTTACCGTTTTGACGGTTGACTTTAACAGAGTGACGGTAGAGAAGGTCGCTGAAGGGATGAAAAGTATTGTTAAATCTTAAAAATTATATTGAACTATATGCAGGCCTTTTCTGCTTTCACTTTGGATGGGATTATGGACATTTCTTCCAGGAACAAAGTGAGAAAGAACACACACTATGTATTATTTACAATACATCACCACAGTCTGATGTGAAATACAGCGTGTAGGCGGCTTCAGTGAACTTAATAGTAGTCGGAGTTGGAGCTTTATGCATGCTTCACATTGTAACCTTTTCATCGCCGAGGTGCTCTAGGTTCGCTCTTAACGCTATAAAACTGCAGAAGCCATGAAAGGTAAGCTGTCTGTTATGAGTGGGCCCAGATACAAGCCTTCTGGTTATTTTCCTCTCATCGTGCACAGCTTTAATGCATCAGGTGGGACCGCTGACGGCACTGTGCGAGTGTCTCACATAACAATTAAAAACAGATCACAAGAGGGAGAATCATGACTCCTCAGATATCTGCTTGTTATTGCTCTGAGTCTAAATCGTATCCAACATTTTATTCCACGGCGCTTTTCATGCCAAATGTTCATCCTAACTCTAAAACAAAAAATATTTTATGAGGTGAAATAAAACACTGTTTTGGTGCATGTTCGTCGGTTGTGTATAATACACCCCACTGACATTATTCAAGTTGTTGCTGCATGGCAGAAAACGAAATATCTTACAACATGGTGTAATCAAATCAAGGAGCCCTATGAGATCTTCTTTAATAAGTTCCAATATTCAAAATTCTTCTTCCATATCCCGCTACTCTATATTTCAATTTGAGGAGCACTGTAGCATATGTTGTCCAATGTATCTGTTATCCAATGTATATAAACAAACTATTCCTCCCCACAGAGACTGATAAACAACCCACCATTAACAAGTACTTTGGTGAGAGGAACACTCTCTTCTTTCTGTTTTGAATCATCAAAGTCTGTCCATATGTGAAAAATCCTCAACAACATCTTAGATAAAAGAAAGGTTTAAAACCTGAAAAAATTGGACCTTAATTGATTGGTTGTTGAATAAAAAAAAAAAACAGAAACCAAAAACAAAAGTATATTTTTGAAAAGTTACAGGAATCATCTTTCTTTTTTCAGACAGATTTAAAAGTATCTTTTTTGAATAAAGTTGAACATTTATTTTAAAAAATACTTTATTTCGCAGGAGCGTTAAAGTTTATATAACCAATCGCAGCCTTTTAGTGTGCTCATCACAATATGATCATAATATACGTTCAAACAAAACCTGTTTCTTGTTATACTTTTGGTTCATTCTGATAATGTGAGGACTCTTTTCTCACATAATGTCACGACCTATACTGTATATATATAATGTAGAATTCCCACTCGATTCTGAAAATAGAGTACATTATGTCGTTTGATACTATTCACCAAATTGTTTGTTGTCCAAAAGACCAAGAATGTTCAAGTTAAGATCCAATAAAAAATAACCCCAGTTGCTTTAGACTTATCAGTACAAAATTACTTTTTAGTGTATTAGTTAATTACGGGGCACTTCCGTTATCTGCTTAACATTGCAATGCAGTATATACATGTAGTATTGTCCAGTTGTGACATGCTCACTACTGCTGCAGAGTGTGGTGGTTTAAAAGTGGGCGGCTGGCTGGAGGCCTGCAGACTTTATGCAGTTGCATCACACGCACCACTGGTTACACTATCTACTGGGTTACAACACAATGATTTTTTAATGTGTGTTTGCAGTGAGTGTGTGCACATGCATTTACTATACGGGGCACAAAGAGTAGAGTAATAACTCATATCCGTTTACACCTATAGAAGTCAAGCATTAAAATAGACCTTACACCAACTCTACCATAGGAGTGAGATGCTCGGTTGCTTATTAAATACACAGTGTTAACTCCCTGCTTTATCAGGAGGCAGAGAGATAGAGAGAAAGAGCAATGGAGGCTGATATCACAACCATCCATCTGATCTGTGTCTAGCAGAGAGCCTAGTTAATGGACCGGAGACAGACTGTGACACTCTCACAGACAGACCCTGCTGTACACACATGGATGTACACACATGCACACACAACCTCCAGACTGAGCTATTGACTGACTGAAACAGACTCAGAAGGTGTGTTACATACATCAGTGCACCAGAGAGTTGCAAGGCTGTGCTTTTGAATGCTGCTACACTAAATGCCTTCAAGTATAAATAATAAAACTACTTCAGCGATGCAAATGCAATATTTGGCCTGAGGTAGATAGTAGATAGATACATTTGTCAACAACCCTTATGAATAAACCCTAATGCAAGCGCCTTGCTGCAGTGTGTTTCATCTCTACATACAGTACCTTGAACCAGCAGACGGGTGGTGTGCAGCACCTCTCCCTGGTCACTGTAGGCCCGGCACGTGTACGCCCCTCTGTCATCCCTAGTGATGCCCAGGATGGTGACACTGCCATCATGTATCTGTGGTGACATGGAGAAGAAACAGATATAAACCCAAACTCTGATGCAAAACATTCACATAATGTTGCAAAGAGCAAGTAGTGGAATATTCAGATTGGATGTCCAATGATAAGTCAATTGACAGATAATCTGCTTTAAATTTGGTAATGAAATAATCCTTTGATTTTCTCTGGGCAATAGTGTTCAAACTTCAATGACTCGGGTTTCTAGAATGTGAATATTTTTTCTGGTGATGGATTCATCAAGGGAACCAGTGGCAGATGAATTGATCTTGAAAAAAATGGTTAGATGCAGCTATAATTCAGATAACTTGCTTAAGTCAAGGTACCCATAACACACTGTTAAACACACTGAATAGCAAATAAACATGTATTAGAAATGTGTGCTTACATACCTAAAATAATCAAAAGCACTTGATGAGGATATTGTGTCCCTTTCAGAGTTTTGCTAACAGACTGCTGTTAGTTAATATATTTTTTTGTATGTACAATCTTGATTGTAGTGGACCAAAAAGTACAATATTTGTAATAAAATAGTATAAAAGCAGTACCATGGGAGCAGTCTCCCACTGACCATGACAACACATAAGAACACCCATGTTCTTAAATTAAGTGTGTGGTGTGTCTCTACTCCAGGGGTGTCAAACTCAATTTCATCGCTGGCCACACTCGCATAAAGGTTGCACTCAAAGGGCCGGATGTAACTATTTAAATATATATATAAAATAATGTATTATATTACATTATTACCTCTGAATTGGATTATTATCGGATAGGATAATAACTTAGTAATTAACTAAGTCTGAAAGCAGAAGTCCAGGGCAAATAATTGCAAGTCTCTTCAGTGCGCATGTCACAAAACGAGATGCATTGTGGGACATGCAGTTTATGTAACCGTACCTTATAATAAACGTATTATATTCTTTGCAAGCTCTTGCGGGGCCACATAAAATGAAGTCGCAGGCCGGATTTGGCCCCGGGCCTTGAGTTTGAGACCCCTGCTCTACTCCAACACATCAAACACATACAAGTCATGAATGCTTTAATCAACTCCAGGTCTGATTCCTGCATGTTGTAACCATGGAAACGACTAACTCCATGTTGCTGCGGGTCCCTGTTTGCAGCTACTGATGAGAACCAATAAGTGGTGAAGAAACACATGAACCAAACCTAATAGAAAAACCCTCATAAATTATGCAACAGGTTGCGAGAGACTCTGTCCATTCAAGTAACACACACAGCTGTAGTCTGTCCATTCATGCAGCTGGGGGGCAATCGGCTGCGCCTGCAGAATTATTCCTATTCATCTGTCTTTCAAATGGTTTACAGCCGAGAAGTGAGAATCAACACGAGCAACTCTTAACTTCTGTCAGTCTGTTGGCAAACTGTGTCATCACCATCACAAGATAACACTTGGTGCATCACTGCTGCGTAACATACGACACGTGAGGCATGCTGGGAGCGCGACAGGAGTGTAAACCAAACACTGGTGAGCTGTGAGGCATCCGATGGAGGCTTGGAAATCACTTTGTATCGATTCCAAAAAGTTGAAAGAGATTAAAATTGATTACTTTTTTCTTTGATTTTGCATGTTTTCTGTTCCTTCACATACAGTACCTGTACGTTTTACTGAGCTGCTGTTGTTTAAAGCTCATGTTGTTTCTCGCACTGAGAAATCCTTGTGGACTCACAGCTATGTTAAAGGTGTGTTCTTACTATAAAAACTAACCAAAAGCGAACTAATGGCATTGCTCGCTCATTGTGTAATTTTTATCTGTAATTACTGAAGCAATTCATCCATGAAAATACAAACAAAATACATTTTCTGAACCAGCAGTGTTGCTTTTTTGGTTGCATTTATTGGGAAAACACTGCACAGCCGGCGGGCAAAAGTTGCCTTCATTTGCATAAACTAGATTTTTATTCAAATGTTTACCATTGATGGTCAATCCAAAATCGCCTTGAATGCCACAATACCTTGCAGACAATTTACTCAAACCTCCAGATCATTTATACAAGTCTGATGAAAAATTGACTGGGAGCAACTTTCCCATTGAGCTTTTTTCGGGGAGTTTGCAGAAGCCATGTTGATTTGGCCTGAACAACCAATGTACAGATACATGTGTGCTAGTTTGCAACAAACAGGCCATGCTGAATGGGGAGGTGTTTTTGTTTCTACTCAGTTCTGTCCGTTCATTTCTTTCAGTCTTTCTCTTCTTTCTTCTCATCTCTGCATGTTTAAGAAGCAGATTGAGCCCAAAGATACACGTACATGTTCTTCTCAATACGAATCAGGTTGCGCCGCCCTTGGAATGTTTGCATAATGGCATTTTCCCATCAACTTTGCAACACTCACGCCTCCTTTAAAATTCTGGGATTTCATATTGAATCTATAAAAATCAAATAGTTACACACATGCAGCAGTGACTGTAGCTGACAGGATCTGATGATACGCGGTCATCAGTCCACTCCAGTACTTTGAGATGAACTCAATCCAAGGTGAGGGGAAGAGGATTAAAGAGGAGGAGGAGGAGGAGGAGGAGGAGGAGGACAGAGGAATGAATAAGCAGTAGATAAAGTGAGGCATGAGATGAAGGCAGAATCTCAATTTATGCTCCACTTCACTGACGCATCCAGAAGGGCTGATATTGGCTTGTGGAACAGCAGGAGGCTGCTGTTGTTTTTCTGCATGCCTGTTGTTTGAGTACACTATGGGGAAGACGGTTTATAATCCCACCTCAGTTTCTATCCTCTCCTGCACAACTGTTTTGTTAAGTATCTTTGTTTTACGGCACTATTTTGTCCTCGCAAATAAATAAAGTAATAAAGTAAAGTAAAGAAAGGAGGACCCTGTCCATCACATTCCTGCCTTTCTCCATGACGTCTCCATGGATCTGATCATGTGGGTGAGCAAATGTACCCTCAACACACAAACACACACACACACACACACACACACACACACACACACACACACACACACACACACACACACACACACACACACACACAAAAAGGGGGAATAAGTGAGTAAAGGAAGACGAAGCCTTTAACAGACGCTCCAGTATGCTCCTGTCACTTCCTGTATCACGCAGACAGCTGGAAACAGTTCATAGCATCAGACTGCAATATCAGGGACGTATGAGAAAAGGAAAAGGAGGCATCCATCTTTCAAAAACAATTCAAACCTACCAAAACAGCCCTTTAATGCTGTTGTACTTATTCATATCGCTGCTCATTTTTTGTTCTCCTAACCAGATTTAAATATTTCTTATTGCTGCTTTTTCAAGAATACCAATCTTCAGAAGAATTATTTGAAGTTATTGCATTCAAGTAGTCTCTACAGCTACACATGTAGGTGGATAGAGTACTTGTGGTTGTATAGTAAGAGTAAGAGAGCAAACGATTTTCCACTTGAGACAAAGTGACATTTGCACCTTTTATTCAAGATGTGGCTGCGATGCATCATCGTCTGCTGAAGCTGTTGGTGTTTCTGCATCATTTATAATAAAACAGTGTGTTCAATGTCTGATTCTGTGATTCTCACACCACAATCTGCCACCTGATGTTCTGTTATTGAAGGTTTATGTTACTTGAGACATTTCGCTGTTATCTAACCACAGTGAGGCTGAGCCAGAAATATATTGTCATGACATCAGACTGTCTTCTTTTGGGAGTGTATCCAAAGGAATAAAAATCATGCATCACCAGACAACAGTGTAGCCGCTACAATCATTGACTGCTATCTTTAAACAGTCAAAGGCTCAACACTTCATATATATAGATATCATAAAGACATCTGTGTTAAAAGTGCAACAAACCATCTAATTCACAAAGGCTTCATTACTGTAACCTGAGACATATCAACACATTCACTTAAATAATAATGCTTGTACAGATATCGTATTCCAAAACAATGTGAATTGTGTGCTGCCCAACAACAGGACAGGCTAATAATAGCGAGTGAGACAATCCTCCATAACATACTTCCAGTACAGATGGACTTAGCAAATGACACCATCTGTGCATGAACCCTGATTCTATATTTATAATAAACATTAATTAAAATTAATAGAATGAATTATCATGGGTCTTACTGAATATTTTGCGTTGGTTGCAAGCTCCTCCCCCTCCCTCAGCCAGCTGATTATTGGTTTTGGATTTCCCTGGGCAGAGCAGCTGAGCTGAGTGCTTCCCCCTTCCTTCGCCTCCACATACTGTGGCGGCGTCGCTGTAAAGGACGGTGGGGCTGTGGAGAAAGTGAAAGCAGGAATCATTACAACAGTATAATTATCATTTTCAACAATCATGAAACTGCATTAAGGAGTTTTCTTCAGTTGGAGATATTGTCTGTTATTTACTTAGCTTAACATTATTAGTCGAGCTAGTTGACCTACAGAAGGCAGTGTGGAGCAGCTTAATACTTTGATCCTGAATATTTCTCAAAGTTGATCGATTGCACGCAAATAACTAGTTTTTTCGGTGTTATTTTTGGATTAAATAGACCAACCCTTCTCTACAGTATATGGTGCTAAAATGCGTAACTTTATTGATACATTTGCTTTAGTTTGTACTTCATAATCACATGAACAAAAATCTACGATATCCTATATCACTAAAACTACACATAAAAAAGGATGTTCTAACCTCTACTACATTTTAAAAAACATTCTTCTATGGTTATGAAAAGTAAAACACAAACAGTCAAAGTTGACCTTATAAGTAGTTTGAGGTGTTGTGTTACATCTTTGCATTGTTTTTGGGAGCAGTAGCCTACTGGATATCTGAATAATAATGTGTTGTTGTACAGTACCATTGTTAGCCAGTAGGACAAACTAGCAACAAGATGACTGGCGCCATTCAACTATCATCACGTGCATGATTCTGGCCTACAGATGTTTCTAGTATAGTAGGTGGTGAACAGTTTTCTAAATCAGCTGTTCCCCCACGCAGGAACAAGCATCCTGGTGACATTAACCCCTTCATCTTGCCATTCATTCCTAAAAACCTTAAAGCCCACTTAGCAGCTTCACTGAGTTTCCATCTGATGTTTCGGAGTTTCTCTTACAGCCACCAGGGATCTCTCTTCCCCACCTACAGCACTGCAGGCCAATAACCTGTAGTTTCCTCCGCCAGCTGCTTTCAGTGTTGCAACATAATATTTTGATTATAAATAGTGGCACAGTGTTTAGTTAAAGAGGAAAAAGGCACAGATATACAAGTGGGTCACCGCTTGCCGCTGGGAGTGCTGCCATGCCTCAGACTGCACACAAGCACCTGGCATGGAGTAAACAAATCGCCCAATTAGCACGTTTAGACATCTGCCTGTCCATACTGCCCTCTCACTCTCCAGCACTCATTACATTAGATGATACAGTAGATTAATGGAGATAAAATGCCTGACTGGTTTATGCACCGCTTGCTCATGCAGTTGACGGGTCAACAGCTACAATAAATGGATCAGGATGCATCATTATCAACCGGCAACCTGCCTCACTGTGAGTTTGTGCTTTTATTTTGAAGATACTTGATTTATTCTAAGGTAGATTTGAAAAGTCTTAATTAACACACCTGCAAGTGCAATTTAGGATTTAATTCATGAAAACATATGAATTCATTATAATTACTGTTTTAAGTGCCTGTGATGGTCCCACATGATGCTACCAAAAAAATACTTTGGGAAGTTTACGCTAACACTTTGTTAGTGTTATGAACATTACTGTACATTGACATTGCAAAACCCACCAGGAAACAGATAAATTATAACACAGCTTTTCTTTTATACAGTAGTATTGTCATTTAGTGTTGTTTTCAGAACATTTGTTTATTTTTGTAGGATGCACATTTAGTTATGTGCCGAAAAACTTGAGCGTGTTTCTTATATGAGATGGTTTTGAGTCATTCTTTAATTTTCCTTTGAGTTAGCAGTGCGGCTGCTGCTTGTTGGTTGCTGCTTGAGGAAAATGCATGGGTCATATTTAGGAAATACCCCAGAATCATACGCTGACTTTTACTTTTAATACTTTAAGCACTAAGTCAGCTGTAAGTAATGTAAGTGTAAGTAATGTAAGTAATGTAAGTGAGTGGACTTTTTACACAGTGCTTTGTTGCCTGACTAAAGTACTTAAGTCCACCACTGTGCCGTTATTCATTCTAAACCTAGTTTAGTGTTTCTCAAGGGATTAAGCATCACTTAATAGGATATTTTAGCATACGTGGTGGTGACAACAGCAGGTACATCCTGGGACTTTGTTTCCCACCTTCAGGTACAGCTTGTTACAGAGAAAGTGTCAACGTGGCAGAGAAACCTGGGAGTTGCTCTACAAAATAAAACATTGCATTCTCGCCCTACTTACTGCAGCGATCTTCATCAATTATATACATGACAAGATGCTGGAAGTTCCTGCACTCCCACTGTTCTTCTTGGTAGACCACACAGCTCATCAGCAGGTGGCCTGGATGCTACTCTAAGACGCACGGTTCGGACAGTTCTCTCAACACGAACAGTCAGAAGGTATTTGCTCAATAAAACTGTGTCTGCATCATTTGCTTTGTCTATCTTTTCTTGCCTCTACTCCTACGAGAATATGGCTACATAACGTGCACATGTTTAATTGATTTCACATCGTAAACCTCAAACATACTGTATGGTGTGTCTCCGTAAACTGTTGAAGAGAGAAGGAAGACGCTTTCAAGGAGACTTTCCACCCCTTGTTTAATTTTAGCACACTCAAGGTACTCACCTTTACTTTATGGTGGGATTAGACTACAGTACATTACATTTTTGTGTTTTGAAATGGTCACAGTGTCACAGATGATGACACTTGAGCCATACATTTTTGACGCCATTTAGCTGACAGACATGAAAAATTACAAATTGAATGCCAACCAATCATTTTGGACAAGTATAAATATATTATATATAAGTATAATACTGGATTTGACCATTTGTCCAACACATGGTTCTCTATTTGGCTGACACTTGGGTCCATTTGAGCACTTTGGTCACTATTGTGAAAAACAAAAAAAACAACTGACAAGGACCGACACACATGGGGAATATATCGAGCTGGCGCACAGATGAGCTGGCATTTAGGCCCCAATTGGGTCAACCAAATGGGTTCTAAATGCCAGTCCATCACTAAACAGAACAGGGTTTTCTTATGTTTCATTGTTAATGGTTCAATCATTTGAAAACGCTGCGCTGATGTTTTTTCTAATCCTAAAAAGCTTGCTGATGCTTAAAAGAGAAAGGAAGGACAGAGGAGACATGACTACAGAGAGGAGCTAAGGAAGAGATGGGGGGCGGTGAGAGAGAAAGAGAGTGGACTTAGTGTCTTTTTTCGGGCACAAGGCCTTGCCATCTGACACCTGCCACTGAGTGGGCACCAATTCCCTGTCCGCTTGGCAGGAAGTTAAGGCCAGCAGCAACAGGAACTCAAAGGAGGAGTGTATGCAAATACCAACAGCCAAAGGAAATGGGTGCCCTTAGTGTCTGTGTGTTGAGGCCAGACGAAAATGGCACCTGCTTCCCTCACAGACACCCATTTAGCTTACAGCAGGAACATAAAGTCTTCATATGAAATCCCTTTTTGGATGACTAAACTGCTGTTCTTGATGTCTCCATAAATGTCTGTGTTTAACATCAAATATGATCCCAAGACAAACTAAACATTTGTACCACTGAAACACCTTGAAGTATGCTGTGCATGCTAACTGCAACTCTACAGTCAGACACATGAGATCATGTAAAATGGCATCACTTAATATGCCACATATAATATGACATTTAGGAATATTAATTATTAGTTCTGCTACAGCCCAAAGAGCTCAGTTTCTGTTGAAAAGCCTGACAGTAGAGCAACGCAGGAGAAGAGAGAGGGAGCAGTCTAAGTCAAGAATGAATACTGATGAGGAAAGCTACAGAGATTCAGTATACCTACACAACAAGACATTGATACGTCACACACACACACACACACACACACACACACACACACACACACACACACACACACACACACACACACACACACGCACACGCACACGCACACACCGATGCACGCCCACAGACGTTCCTAAACACCACATCACGAGAGTGTGCAGGTGACGGCAGAGTGTGAACTATTCACTCTTCAACTTCAACAGACAGAGATCTCATTTAGCTGCATACAAACAAACACAATGAGACGCTCTCATGTCAATGTTGATCTAATGCTCTGCACCCAGAACACTGTGCTGAAAGTAATCTGCAGTGTGTGTGCTGTACTAACACACAAACACAAACATAAAAAAATATTATGTTCTGCATTGATAACCATTTATAAACGTCAGCATTTTTCCTTCTAAAGTGATTATGCAGTGCATCGGACTTTACAAATGTTTTTTTCCCCACTATTTAGCATAAAGTAAGTTGTAATCATTATTCAGGTATAAGAATTGCAACCATTGTAAAACATATGCATGATCAATTGAATATGCATGAGTTTCTCACAGTGCCAAAAATATACATGTGAAAGACTTTGACAGTCTCTCTCTAATAACACAGAGGATTACAGCTCTCTGAAGTTAGAGACCTGTGAAGATTAATTAACACAAGAAATCACCGCTTTTGGCTGGAACAGTTTTTGCTTGTTTAGCCAATATTAACACGTTCATATTAACCAGAAAATGCCAACTAAGAAATCCAAGTAATACATTGAGACAACGTGTACTTCATGCATTTACTTTACTGCACCTTTGCTGCATCATGCATTTACTCATCTTCTGCAAAACAGCTTAATATCTGTTTCAAATGCATTCCTCACATGAAGCAGATAAAGGCTTAAAAAAATGAAACACAAGGTTTCTTGTCTCTGTAGTCTCTGGTGCTCTGCATCCATGTGAGGACACACTTCACAAAGGATTCTCTGAGCCACTAGGGTATTCCTGGGAAATGCAAAGGTGCAGATTTTTTTTCCGCCTGGTCATCAGTTTGATTGCTCTCTCAGACTATCACAGACGATCCCTGCCGGAACCGCCTTAAACAGGCCACAATCAATTCTCCTCTAACCAGCCTCTCATTCCTTCTTTACACCAAGGCCTTTTGATAAGGAGCAGCAGGGATGATCTAAAACAGTCTCTAATGGTGTTTTCTTTTTATGTGACTGCTAAAAAAAACTGAGCAAATCCTAATCTGTGTCCAGCAGTAAACGGGACCAGTGAGTCAAGAAGTGTGCGTTTATGATTAGTTTTTTTTATTTTAAGAAAGGCTAGAAAGTTGTGCATTATTGTGCATGAAGCTTTAGTAAAAACCCAGTTATTCTAGAGGAATTTGTATTTAAAAAAGGATACACTAAATATTCATCAGTCAATCATCAACATTTGAGTACTTTCCTGACGGCCGATTAATGGATACATAGACTAATAAATTATTTATTTATTAAATAATTATTTATAAAATAATTATTTTATAAATAATCATTTAACAATTACATGTTACATAACAATTACATGTTACATAATGCAACAAAGATAACTTAAAAATAAGTACATTTTCAGTATATACTGAACATATGTATACAATATTCATCATGATTCATGCAATGGCTGGATAGTTCATAAGCTCATCAGAGTGTTGACTACTTTTACCTGTGCTTGTACTTTTCAGCGAAAATGTCCTCGATAAAATATAACCATATTTTCCAAAACAATCTGATGTTCTTTTTTATATACAGTCTGAAGCCTGAGTGTATGAAGCAGGTTTTCTATTTTTTTCGTTGAAATGTACAAACACATACGTTAACAGTTCAGAGAGTGAGTAGCTGACTCACCATTGACTGTGAGGTGCACCCAGCTGCCGTTGTGGAAGGTGTCGTACTGTTGCTCCAGCATCAGGACCCTGCACTCGTACCAGCCCTGGTCATCGGAGCGCACTGGGTCGATCTGTAGGGAGGCCTTCCCATGCAGAGAGGCTCTACCTGGAGACGGAAAAGAAACATAATTCATGTTTTTATGCTTTTTAAAAACATCTTCACGCTCTCAACAAGGGTATGCTTCTCCATTTGAACTCCCAGCTTTAATCATTGCTTCTTACAGCACAAAATAGATTTCTGATGCAATGGTTTGCATTAAAAGTAGCCTCTAAGTTATGGTGTGAAAGAACACTTTAGATTTGTACATGGATAGAAGGATGAATAAATATGTTCCACTGACTGTACTGAACGTTATTAGGATTAAGTGCAACATTGTATAATCTCTGCTACTCGCTTTTCCTTTTTTCTCTGCAAGGACTCTAAAAACTCAGACTTTGAACTCCCCTTTATTATAATAAGCACATTCACAAGCCTATTTTCCAGGCCTCAGAGAAGTTCAAGTCGGGTGGGATAAAGACATTTGTTCTCATTCCTGCTCAGGGAGTACAGCAGTCTGGAGCCTTTCCAAGCACTCGATGGAAGGCATGAGTTAACAGAGACGGACAACCCTATCACCACCTTATACCTAAAGGGCAATTTACCGCCTTCCATCAGCTTGATTGTTGTAGGAAACGGATATAAAGACCATGAAGACTCTTTAAACATCAAACTCAAAGGATTATTAACACAAAAAGTCAAATCAGTTGATATTTTGGGAAATTATTTGTTTTTTTGCCATGAGTGTATAGAGAAAATCAATACCACTCTTATATTTATACAGTATATATGAAACAAGGCTACAGCCAGGAGATTGGTTAGCTCAAATATTAAGACTGTTTTTAGTGGAAAATAACTAACACGGCTCTATCCAAAAGTCAGAATTAGAATAAATAAATGAATTGCCAGGAGACTGTTACCTTCATCTTAGCTCGGCAAAAATCTAATTTTATTAACATTAAGTTGATGTACCTCATTTGGCCTTAGTGGTACTAAAAACCATCTCCTGGCCTCAGCTACTTCATATTTAACTAACAGACTTAAAAGTGCTATTGATCTTCTCATCAATCTAACAGCAAGTAAGGGAATAAATGTATTCCTCAAAATGTTTGATCTTTAACCAATTCAATATTTCCATATTTAAACCTAAATGTATAAAACTTTTTAGGTTATACCTCCAGCTACATTTGACACACTGGGAAAAGACCAGATTTCCACCTCAAAGAAATCATCTATTTCTTATAAAACTTCTCCATCCCGGCCGCTTTTACTCTTCAAGGCTGAGGATAAATTGGAATTCTAAAAGGATGAAATCACAAGGGATGAGAGAAGTTCAGGAAACCAGGCATGGTGAAATCTTCAGCTGCTAAGCTGTCTTTCTTCAAGCCTCCAGCCCGCTGCTCACATGGCTGCCTCTGACAGCCCGACACACTAAAACACTCTCTTCTGCCGTCTGACGAGTGTTCGCAGAAAGAGCATTTTTCCAAACTTTGATGTGTAGATGTTCTGTAAGCACTGTTTCCTGATACTTCCAACTGTCAGGCAGATGTATTGACAGTGAGGATGGGCTGAATTGCTCTACAAGCACTGTATGTTAATGCAATAAATGAATAGCCCAAGCCTGGGACAGCTGCCATAGTTGGGGTAGAAAACTGATGGGGGTTTTTGTTAGCAGAAAATCGATGCAGCAAAGAGGAAGAGAGAAGAGTTTGCAGTCTTGCAGTAAAAAGGTAGCTTGTCTTGAAAAAGTCAAGTCTATTTTTGCTTGGGCATTGAAGTGCTGAGTGGGGAGGGTGATGGCGTGAATGGTAGGGATCAACCTCAGCTCCCATTTGTCAAACAGTGATAGGGTGCTGCTGTAAACAGAGTTAACAGTACTGTATCCACGTCAGGACGGCCCCCCCGGTCATACACCACTTACACAGGGTTCTGTCTAATGTGAAAACACACAATATCACATCACAAGCTCTGTCAGGAAACTTTGAAGAGGAAACACAAAAGATCCAAAGAGACACACTCTGGAGGACAACAAAATACAACTTTAAATCCCAAAAAGCAGTGATAAAATAATAGCAATGAGCAGAGCAATGTGGGTTGCTGGTATTATTTTCACGAGTCGTGTGTTTTGAATACCGTCTATCTGTCTGTGGACAATATGCGGTCAGTCACACATTTCAGAGGTGTGTAGATGAGAAACATATTTGAAGATTGCCGTGGTCCAGGCAAGGCGATGTTGGACTCTTATGAAACATGAGCATAATGCCTTATTTGTGACAGGTGTTGCATTTTGGGATTGTAATTATATTGGAAAAATGTCACTGCGGGATTGTTAGTAGAAATTAAGCACATGCTGTTAACACTACTTCTTCTGTTCCATTGTGTGGATTTTTTAGTGCACTATAAAGCCCCATACATTTCAGATGGGAAAGAACCATCTTCCATTGTTCCGGCTTGGGAGCTCTCCTGCATTATTCAAACATTTTAAATGCAAAGCTAGCCTTTACTGTACTCACAACAAATGAATGGCCTAAATACACTTTTTGATGTCATTACATTTCTTTAGTGTAAGGTATTTTTTAAATCAGCTAATTTAAGTGAATAACAGATAATATTAGGTTTTTCTTTGTTAGTGATGATGAGTGATTGAGGCAGTATCTTAGTGTACATGCAGGAAAAGGTGTGCTCCTAGGAGGACACTGTTGATTTTTATATAATTTATAAATCCATATTATTGTTGTAGAGAGATATGATTTAGTTGTCAGCTTGTCCCAAAGCGCGCCAATCCGACACTAAAATTTCACATGCTTCACATCTGAATTATTGATTGTGTTATTGCACGAGAGGGCACAAATAAAGATGTTTTTTAATGCTGTTATTTCAGTATAGCTGCGGGACAAACTGGCAGAATAGATTTTAGTCGAGAAGGATATCTGCACATGTTCTCATGTTAGCAGCAAATCACATGGAAAATACATAGTTGTAATGATTAATCTAAAATAAAAAAGAATATAATGTTGGTTTATCAATCATTTGCAAGAACATAAAGTGATGTAAATGCTTACTGACCCAGACAAAACGATTGACCCATAGATGGATTAAATGGCAATACAATCAAAGGGAAATATTTGGATTTGTCCTTACTGTAAATGCAGCGTTCATAGATATATATATATATATATGTATATATATATATATATACTCTGTTTTGGTAGCAGTCTACCCACCAATTTTATTCATATTATGTGATAAGAGTTCATGAAAATAGCCAAAATGAACTCTGAGACTGCACAGACCCAAAGAGCATCTCATCATGTCCAGTGTTATTATCACACTGTTGCCGTGCACATGCAATCCCCAGACCCAACTTTAATCTATCTAATGAGACTGGCCATATTCATGTTGCATCTGTTCACTGGTAATTCCTCAGCAGTGGACTTGACGCCACATGGCAGAGTCCCTTTAGAGCCAGAGCGAGCACAGTAGAGTGAGATGCTGTCTGAAAAGTTCATACCCTGCCGCTGGTCAGGAGGTTAAAGTAAGCAATGAAACGCTCCAGCGGCTGCAAGATCTACAGTAGCCACCACAAAACAGAAAGGAGGGTTCCCCAGACAGTGAGTCACTGCCATTAGTCTTCTCTGCACTGATGACCCTGCTTTAAGAAAATCCCACAGGGAGGAGTTTCAATCAAACTAATGTTATTCACACTGTTTTCTAACCCAGCTGAAAAATCTGTAATGTCCGTATTTAGGACACTCACAGAAGAGAGATTAATCCTTCTGCCTTTCAACAAGCCATGACTTGCCTTTGATTAACAGCATATTACCAGGTCAGGCACTTGGTAAAGAGGTGGGAACAGGAGGGGATGATTCTGACCCCATTATGACAGCTCGCCATCTTGTCAAAGATGCAGAAGCAACATCAGGATGTAGAACCAATTTCCTAATACAAGTAGTACGGCAGATATAATGTTTAAACCAGGAGAGGAACATTTTAAGGTTCTATGATGTGATGAAAGGCAGGAATATCAAATAACTATTGTTATGCCTATTTTAATGCTGTTCAATCAATATTTCTAGATAAATAATGGATTGAATGTGAAAGGGTTTACTAATTTCTACGACACATGAAGGGTTATCAACAACTAAGAAAGTTCCCTTCAGCTCAGCAAGACAGTTTATAGCATCTTTTATATCATTATTTTGGTTTAACAGCTACACAGAAAATGTTGCACCATGTGTAGCCTTTTTAAATAGGGACACAGTACATTATGATATATTCAGTTGAATATTTATTGGGTAAATTCAGATAAAACTAATGCCATCTAAAACTAAAAATCTGCCTGTTGAGAAAGCTATAATGATCAGTTTTTGTTAAACCTGTTTAAAAGAGGTATTGATGCAGTTTAACGATAATTGTGGAGGCTGTCATTAATTTGTCGGTTATAGCTTCTTTGATTACCACTGTACTGGACATATAGTTATTCGTTTTTTCATATACTGTATGTGTGCGCTGTGCTGCATTGTCACTAGAGTGTGATAATGTATGTGGGCTACAATGCAGTCGTAAATTGCTGAGACACAGTTATTTCCCCCTATGCACTCAGAGACAGCAGATGCCCCTGCACAACCCCAAATGCTGTGTTAGAACAGAACGAATTGCACTTCAAGAACCAGAACGCTTTACAAAGGGGGCCAGGTCTTTGTTTTAGTACGTAAAGGCCTCAGTGTACTGCACCATGCCTTAAACTTAGAGCTAAAGTATCATTCTGAGGGAAAATACTCTGCAATTGTAGGTCAGTCTTCTGAGGATTTGGAGGTACATTAACAGAACGCATTTGCACTGCAATATATTTAACTGGTTGTCAGGAAGGCTCTGCTCTCAGCCAGCTTATAATTGGATCTGCAGCAGCAAAATCTTTATGCTCTATCATCATAGAAATGTTTCCAGAATTATTGTATATTCAAACAAAATCTTATAATGTCTTTCGAGTTGTATATCACTATATCCATCAGTGTGATGGACTCACAAAGGCAGATTGTTTCATGTGTTGAGACTTCATACTCTACTACTACAATATACTCAAAACTATGGGGGACGTTTTCAGGTTATGCACCAATTAACACATTTTACCTAACCCACCATAAAACTAGATGTCTTGTTTACACTTAGATTTTTGTATGGATTTAACAAAAAGATCTCCAAGCCAGGCTAGATTGTTCCAACTTTTTCCAAATGTAATATCAAACTTCTCTTAGCGGAAAAAAAAAAAAGTCAAATTATTCCTTTAAATCCGTAAAGTATCTGCAAGCCATCATCTTTCACTAATGGTGAAATGCACTTCAGAATATTACAATGACCTATTTTATGGTCTCTGCTTAACAGTGTGTATCATGAATCTGCAGCACATAGTTGATGATTGGGCAAACAACTCAAATATCTCTGACATTGCTGGGTTTGGCAACTAAAGAGATTGTGATCCTGATGCTGCCTAATTTAAAAGTTTTAAAGGTCCCATGTCATGGCCATTTCCACTGATCATAATTCCATTGTTGAGGTCTACTAGAATATATTTATATTGTGCAATTTCCCAAAATCACTTTGGTTTCTCATACAGCATCTCTGTAAACTACGTGTATTCACTGAATTTCCCTCTCTGCCTTTAACGGCTCGTTGTAGCTCCAATAGCTCCAGCCCCCACCCTCCCTGTGAGCACAGTGTGCTCTGATTGGTCGGGACGTTGTGAATCACGCTGAGCTCCGTGGAGGTGTAGTTTCCTTGTTTAGCGACAGCGAAACACAGCCAAACTCATCCTGAGCACACACAAAGTCACAGCCCAAGTAAAAACAATAAGTGTGGCTTGATATTGAGTAAGAAAAAGGTTGATAAACGCTGTGAGAATGGGTCTGCAGAGAGAATTTTGCCGCGATCCCAACTGACACACACACACACTGCAAGCCAGGGAAGGAGGATCAGGCAGAGGCTGCCTGCACTGTGTGTGTGTGGTGAGGAAGCATCCGTGGATTCCGGTGCAATTTGGCCAAAGTCCAGCCGGGGAGCGCTACACGTAAGCTGCTCACGGAATTAGGCACATTTAATCCTCGCTACGCCGGAAGAAATCAAATGGATGATGACATTCTCACCAACGAGGCGCTTTTGGGACGAGGCTATTTATCTCGTGTTCAGCCCCAGTTTATACTCGCTAGCATGGACCGTTAAGCTTTAAGGGTTGTTGACCTGCACGTCTGCAGACGCCCGTTTTACATGTGCATAAAAACGCCTTCATAACACACAAGGGACGGGTAATAAAGCCGGAAAACCGCCGACATCGGGACCTTTTTAAAATAAACATGACAAATCAGTTTACCAGTCGTCATGCTTATTCCACTACATTTGCTGTCAGACCAATCAACCAACCAAGTTACGCAAGACTCCATCGACAAAAGAACCTAACGGAACAGCAGGTTTGGCTGGCGTCTACGCCATTCGCGCTCGTGATGACATCTGAACCTTANTGGATGGAGCATAATGTGTGGGCTGGACCTGTATTTTACAGGAAAGGAGTGAGCAGAGAGTAGAGTAGTTGTCGATTCTTGTTCTGTTTTCTGTGACTATCTGCATAGTCACAGAAAACAGAACAAGAATCGACAACTACTCTACTCTCTGCTCACTCCTTTCCTGTAAAATACAGGTCCAGCCCACACATTATGCTCCATCCAGGATGGTGCTACAGGCTGCAAGGCAGTGCACTTACAACTACAATGCATGTTAATGTTAATCTAACAGCTCCGGCGATCCACTAGCACCCCCCCCCTGTGTGTGTGTGTGTGTGTGTGTGTGTGTGTGTGTGTGTGTGCGTGTGTGTGTGTGTGTGTGTGCGTGTGCGTGTGCGTGTGCGTGTGCATGTGTGTGGGTGTGTGTGTGTGTGTGTGTGAGGAAGTCCTAGCTCTGGGCGTGGCTACTGGGTATTCAGACGTCACAATGCCCAGGAAGAACATGAGAAATCTCCAACGAGGCGTTTTGGGGAGATCTTTTCTGTGTTAGAGTTTAACTCCCTACAGGGTGTACTTTGAGGGTTTTCTCTGCAAACTGTTTACAAGCATAAAAACCTTCATAACACACAAGGGAACGGGTAATAACCGGAAAAGCATGACATGTCTCCTTTAAGACTGGAAACAGGGAAAGGTTATCCTGGCTTAATCCAAAAGTTAAAAAAAGATTGCCAGCCCATAAACGTAATAAACAAGGATTATCTTATTTAATATGAACAAAACAAAAATACTTTATGCTTACTTTTTACTCAGCTAAGTAATTTTCTTCTGGCTGTAGCCTCTTTTTAAAATATTAGTAAGCTTGTTTCTCTGAACTGAGAATTATTCCTTTAAATCTTTTTTTATTATGCATGGACAGTAAACGCTCTGCAAAGTCACAAACCCTCAAAGTACACCCTGTAGCGAGTAAAACTCTAACACAGAAAATACCTGTCTATGCTGCCCCAGAACGCCTCGTTGGAGATATTTCTTTTTCCATTTTTTTTCTTCCTGAGTAAAGTGACGTAACGAGTGTAGTGACGTAGCGCACACACACACACACTCACTCAGCCTTATCTTTTTTCAGCCGCGGCTCCGCGGATTTCCGCACACACACACTCACTCAGCCTTATCAGCCGCGGCCGGCTGTGAGTCTGTGTGTGTGTGCTCAGGCTGAGTTCCTCTGTGTCTCACTGTCTCGCAGACCCCACGCCGCAACCAGGAAACAACACCAGTAATCCAGCTCACACTAGACGCCACACAGCATTCTCATCTGTTTGTCATTACTGGTGTCATTTTCTGGTTGCTAACACACGCCATTGTAACACATAATCACTGATGTTCCGCTGTAACGGTGGTGGTCTCATCAGAACAGAGTGGGTGAGCTGAACATTGAACAATGTAAATCTATTCTAGTATACCTCAACAATGGAATTATGATCAGTAGAAATGGCCATGTGATGGGACCTTTAAGTATTGTCTGCTGGTCTTCTACATATGAGCAGATCACTCAGTCTGCCCCAGTAGCCCGTGCCCTGCGGCATGAGGAGGGGTTTCACTGTGGCCCACCTGGCAGCACTCAGCCGGCCTCTCCGTGTGACCGGCTCTCAGCTGACAGGTGTCGCAGGGCAGAGGAGGCAGCTGTGCTCAGGTCTCTCCTTTATGAGAAGTAACTGGCTTCGGGCCACACAGCACATCTGTTGCGTGGGTGGGATGAGCAGAGCTGCAGACAGCGCTACTGCTCTTTAACTAGATCTTACGCTGGTCACCACCTCAGCCAGAGTCGCATTATTACACAGAGAACGGGCGGGCGCATGATGCAGCACAGCATTTTAGAGGTGCAAACATCAACAAAATGCTCCTCGTTTTACTTGAGGTGCATTGTGAGCCCACATATTTGAATAAATCAGTAATACACCACCCATGTTAATATAATATATATATTATCTCACTGCAAGTTATATTAAATGCTAATCGTAAGCTGAAATATATACAAGTCAATTGGTAGACTGTGGTCTTTTAAATGTATTCCGTTCTTCCCTCTCTCTGTCCTGATCTTTCAGGCACCAGCCCACACGCTCCTGGCAACATCCACGTATTGCCCTCCACAACCTCTGCTAATGTGTCCTGGGAACCAGGATATGATGGCGGCTTCGAACAGACATTTTCTGTGTGGTACGGTCCAGTGTGAGTGCTCTTATTTAACTTCAAATCACTGTCTGCAGCATGCAGATGTGGAAACGCTTCCTGTGGGTTAAAGGCCTAGTTTAACAAACATCTTCCTCCTGCCTTTATGATCATACAATATGTTAGAAATTCAACCCCAAGTATTTCTTTGGACAGTATATTTCTTGGGGTTTTCAGTAGATGTTGTTTAAAGTATTGCAATGCATTCACACTCAGCAATATGCATAAGTCACATGCACCATATAGGTTAAATAAACTGCAAAGCTTCAGCAGGTAATTAGTGAACAACACTTTCTTGAGATGAATTAGCACATATTTCACAATTGTTTTAAGTTTACCATTCTGTTTTGCCCTGTTTCTGTTCTCAGGTCAAAAAGAACAGACTTTGGGCCTCACGACTGGCACTCCATGCCAGTTTCTGGGGCTCAGACGTGGTTGGTGGTGACAGGGCTGGAGGCCGGGACAGAGTACCAGTTCAGTGTGTTGGCGCAGAACAAACTGGGCACGGGCCCATTCAGCCAAGTTGTGACAGTCAACACTTTAGGTGGGTTCTCAATTAAAGGAAACTTGAATACAGAATTAAATCAGCGACTTGCACTATTTCTATTTTCTAGAATGTCTTCAGATGCCATTCACGAGATTCTGCGCTGTAGTTGTTTTTAAATGAATGTGTACATATGTGTAATTTCTACTAGGGATGGGGCAGACATGTCATCCTTTACTTCCTAAATCCTGTACCTCTTCACTTTTATTGTTTTATGTTGATTATCAGAATAAATTATCTCTAAATATTGTTCTTTTTCAACAAACAAGATTCTTCTGCAATTTAATGAATGTGCCTAATTTTAAAATGTAATAAAAAAGGACTGTGTGGCCGTTGGATACAAAAAAACATTAAATTTTTTATAAAAACACAATGCACATGAGCTGAGACCAGCTGACATTCCTTATACAGTATAGTGGATTTGTTCTCATGTGCTGAGTGATGCAACAGATAATATCTACCGCAACATTTTGACTTGTCATAGCAGGAGAGCAGAGGTGTAACTAATGACAGTAATGATGGCACTGTTCCATTTAGGTGTGCCAATAAGCCTACGTGCAAAATACCACAGTCATTATTGATGTTATTAGTTCCACTTGTGTTTGACAAGTCAACATGTTCAGAGAGAAATATCTATTCATGTTGAGAATGTAGCCGCTGTAGCTGTTTCTGATGTAGAAAAAGGAACAGATTAACATTTGTATTTTTTTCACATTTTGTGTGTTGTAATCCAACTCATGCCTCAAGGGCATGTTGCCAATATCCAGTCTTAGTGTCCCAAGGACTCCCAACGTCTGAACTGAATTAAAATTGAATGGTTTTTAAAATCAATGTCTCAGCAAAAAAAGGCATGAAGGCAGAAATGTGCATTGCTGTTTTTTCTAACATACAAAGGACAAAGGAGTGTTTTATAAAGGCATGCATAGATCAATGAAAATGAGTGAAAAACAGCATTTGCTAACTGCTAAGTCAGGTTGTATCACATTTCCTTACATATGGAAATCATTGTCTGAATAACTTTCCCTCATGTTAACTTTCTTGTCCAACATGTCTTGTCCACAGGCTCTCCTCTGGGTACCCCAGAACCACTGGTGCTTCTTACTCCACCACGGTGCCTAACAGCCAATCGCACGCAGCACGGTGTCCTCCTCACATGGCTCCCTCCAGGTAACCACTCCTCGCCCATCGACCGATATATCATGGAGTTCCGCCTCGGGGAGAGGTGGGAGGTTCTGGATGACCTGATCCCGTCCACCGAGACCGAGCTCATAGCCAGAGACCTCGTTCAGGTCAGTTACAAATGCATGCAGTCCATACAGAAACATGGCTGTGTAAGGTGTGGCAAAGGGGTAATTGACTGGAAAGTTAATTAAGAGAGAATCTTGTAAACAATATCCCTAGTTCATGGTGATGAGCATAATCTACATTACATGTCGTTTGTTAGACGCTTTTATCCAAAGCGACTTACATACATTCAATACTGTGGACAATCCCCACAGGAGCAATTTGGGGTGAAGTGTCTTGCCCAGGGACACAACGACATGCTGACTGCAGTGGGACTCAAACTTGCTACCTCCTGATTCGAAGTCCAGCACTATATCCACTTAACCACAGTAATCTAGTTATCATTTTATTTTTAAATAATGTTAACATTTCTACACAGTCCACATTTGTATGCACATGATTTAACGTCCAGCTTAAATGTTCAAGAGGTGGTGTATTTTTTTTCGCCTCACTGCAGTATAATGCATTTTGAAAAATGATAATATTTATAAATTACAAAAAGTGAGTTTGTGTAACCTACATCACAAAAAAAAAGAAATGCAAACATGCTCGCTACAAGGCATAATCTCCTTTTAGTACGTGTAACAATAATAAATAAAGTGAACATCCTTTTATTATCTAAATTTCACCTACAGTATACACAGGTCAGTTTTCAGAATCACAAAATGCTTTTTGAACAGGATCCAGTAACTTTGACACAAATCAGTGCATGAGACGGTCACGGGACAGTGTGTATGTTGTCTCTCTCTCACAGGAGTCCTGGTATGAGTTTCGGGTGATGGCTGTCATGGATGACCTGATCAGTGAAAGCAGCAATGTAGTGGGAGTGTCGAGCACCGGTCAGTTTTTTTATGATGTATTACAAACTGGAGTCCTTAAATAGATATGTGAGTTTTTTGTGTTAGTTAAGTCCCCTTTCACTCTCCTGTCTGCCCCATCAGATCCCTTCCCTCCTGCGGAGTTGCCTGATGAGGGGCTGGCGCGGCCGGTGGTGGCGGGTGTTGTGGCAACTATCTGTTTTCTGGCAGCAGCAGTACTGTTCAGCACTCTAGCAGCTTGCTTTGTCAATAAGCAACACCGTCGCAAACTGAAGCGTAAACCAGGTCCGCCTCCCACTCTACTTTAACCCACATTTAATAAATATAGTAAATGTTTGACCATGGATGAATTACTTCTGAGCCTACCAGGGCCATTGGGTGAAAGTACAAGATAATAAATTAAATGACTACAACGGGATGCAAAACAAACAGAAAAAGAAACAACACAATGGTTGTATTTTGTAATTTTAGTCTGAGTTACTCTTATTTAGGATGGATAAGGTGCCTGTAAGGTACATGTCCAAGGGGTCCATTGTCTCACAATACACCCATGTGTCTGACTATGTATTATGGTTTTAAACAGAGGGAAATGCTGAATTCAAATGTTTTTGTCCTCTCAGATCCTCCCTTGTCGGTGACACACTTCAGGAAAAGCATTGAGTCACCGTAAGTAAGACTAAATGCCAAAGGTCCTGCAGGACGCTACTACTGTCCAACTTATAAATGCACCTTTACCAAAATGCCTCTTCCTATGTATTCTGAGACGAGGCATACACTACATTTTGACAATAAATAACAGTTGAAACTAAAAAAGTATTACATTTACTTTAAACATCTGGCAACTGGAAATACTCTTTTTAGAGCCTTGTTAGTAGAACTGATTATTATGCACATCATTGCCTTCTCTTTCGCATTTCAGTAAAATATCCGGACAGTATAGGCACACAGAATAAGCAAAACCCAAAATGGATGATATAAAAACACCATGATTATATCTTTGGGCAACTTGAAGGGTTTGGAAGAACATGAACAGTAGCAGCCTCTAGCGGATCAGTGGCAGATTAAAGAAAGTTAAAGCAGCAAAGTCAGCATTTTAGGCACATTACCCAGAGTGCCCAAGCTGCAGTATGTGTATTGATTTTTGATCCATCTGTATTCTTAAACGCTATCTGCTTTCTGCATGATTCAAATTGTGTAATAATGCTATTTTATGTTTAGCTGCACATTTAATGTACAGTCCGCTACATGTGTGTATTTGTCTGTCCGTCTGTAAATCTTGTTACATTTATGACTGCATTTCAATTTCATTTGTGGATATAATCTATGTAAAATCACATTGAAGAATAAATGTGTGTCTGCCTGAGACTTAAGATAAACCATCAGTATCAGATACCTTGTTTATTTTTTTATGAAATGGTAGGTCAGGAAGTTCAACCTTAGTCCTTCCTGAAGTGGCATAGTCAAAGATGAACCAGGCCCATGTCATTTGTCTCCAATCGCAGGCCTCCTCTCACCCCCTTGCCAGGGGTAGAGCCCTGCTGGGATGAGCCTGCCAGGAGCAGTTTCTTGCCCCCGCCCGCCAGCCCCCTGTGAGTGCCTGCCTGCACCAAAATACAGAGTGTGCTGCACTGCACTGGCTTGGCTGCATGGTTATAGCATTGCATAGAAATTATCAACTGACTATTTGTTGTAGTGAAGCCTACCGCTGGCCTATTTGCATGCACTAACTCTCATGCACCATACAGGGATTACTTTGCATTAGCTCCATGCATGTACAGTACAGTTCAGTACTGTGTATATGCACTCTTTACTCTGTATGTCTATCCTGACCCAGTAAGTGTTGACTATGCTGCTCCTGGTGTGGGCAAATGAGGCCTGGTTAGATGTCATCTGCTTTTCTCACATCACCATTTGGTGCAGCATATGGAAATTGCTCTCATGTCTGCTCACGAAGATTTAGATTCAATAGATTTGTGATACGGTTGTCATGGTTGCGTCGCTGGTTCTCCTCTCATCCCGTCATTCTAGCTTCATTAGCTGTCAGGATGATGCCACCGTCATAAACTGGTCATTATCATAATGTGGTTCATTATGGCTGCCTTAATAGAGTGATTTGGCTTTGTCTTGTGTCATCTGTTGAGCTTGGAAATGAAACCACAATCATGCCTATTCATTTACTGCATCAGACAGTTTTCTTTTGTTTAAGACACTTCATTCACCTAACCTTTAGGTGTCATGTGTTAAACTAAGACAGTGCCTTTTGTCTGCATTTTTTTGATTAGGTTATCATCTGGGAAAATAAGTCCAGAGAGCTCTCCTCCATCTAGGCCCCGCTCTCTTTCTTCAGACGGGTCCCAGGGCCCGGGGCTGTACGTCAGGAAGCTGCCCAGCCCTCTGAGGGATCGAGAAAAAGAGCTCTCCTTCTACAAGAAAACCAAGCGTGCCATAGCCAGCAAGAAATACAGTGTGTCAAAGTATGAGTCAGAGGTCACCACGCCTATTGAGCTGATAAGCCGCGGCCCTGATGGCCGCTTCACCATGGAAAGCCCACCGGCCCGCCGCATCCACGGCTTCCCCTTCGCAGAGGAGTCTGACATGTACCCCGAGTTCCGGCAGTCTGATGAGGAGAATGATTTTGACCCAGGGCCTTTGCCGCCCATCATGCCCACGCTGCGGCCCCAGCTCTCCCCAACGTCCTCCAGCCTGGAGTCAACGCAGCCCCCCAACTACAGCCCCCGCCTCCACAGGGCCATGGAAGGTATGAGCTTTGCAGAGGGCAGTGCACTTCACGCCTCAGGGCAGGCCCCGGCCTCCCGCTACAGGGGCTTTCCCCAGGGCCCGTTCTATGGGTATCTAGGCAGCCGCATTGAATCAGGGATTCCACCACCATTCTACATGCCTGACATCAGCCCGCGCAGCTCTGCTCTGTCCTCCCCCCCAGGCACCGCCGAGGGTCCCTTTGGTTACCCCTCCATCCCTGAGGAGAGTGGCGAGATGGAGCACCATCAGTACACTGCCTCTGGCCATTCTCTGTCGCACACACACAGCCCTCCGTGCTCCCCTGACAGCTGGCAGCCTCATGAGTTACCCTTCCTGGGTCTAGAGGGCCCACGGTTCATATACCCGCCTCACCATCCCTTGCATCATTCCCAGGACCTCCCTGATCCACCCCCATACCCTCCTCACTCTCACCCCCACGGTCGCCTGCACCTCTCTTCCCTAAAGGACCCATCAAGCCCTGGCCTCCTGCAGTTGGAGGTCCCTATGGCTCCCCAAGGCAGAGACCGGCCCATGGGGCCCCCGGTTAGGCGTTTAACTATGCAACAGGCCCAGAGTCTCGGCCATCTCAGACACACGGCCCACGGTGTGGGTGTACCAGTGTTGCCTTACCCTGACCCGGCAGCCCGTGCAGGGAGCCCAAGCACAGCCCCCAGTAGTAGCCCTCAGTCCTGGCTCAGCCCGAGAGCGCATCGCCGGGCAGACCCCAGCCTACCCCCATTAGTACTCCAGCCCTCCCGCCTCTCTCCACTCTCCCAAAGCCCCCTTAGCACCCAGCCAGGTTCCCCAGATATCCTAGTGCGGCCCCCTCCCCGCCCCAGCATCCTCCGCACCTCTCGGTCTCTGGAGATGCATGAAATCTCCCTGCAGCCCACTGTCAGTTTCTCCCGGAGGTCTTCCCCGTCCGCCTCTCCCACTCAGAGCCATGCCACCAGGCAACCCAGCCCCAGTTACCACGCCCACATGTCCTATGCCTCCACTGCAGCCAGTTACCCCTCCCAGTCCCCCTCTCCCCCTCTGGAGGGCAGGGATGTGTTCGGGCAGAGGCCGTCCCAGAGAAGGACGGAGGAGGAGATGCTGCCCTCAGAGCCCTCTCAGCTCCAGATATCAGCCTCAGGGTAGGTGATCCATTCCAGTAGAGAATAGTCACATATTTATTTAAAGGGGAGACTTTTCTTCTCGTCTGCTCTCTTTTCCAAATTTCTTAAGGAATAATTAAGATGCATATTGTACTTTGATATGCAGAAGGCATGTAATTGCATTTAACACACAATGTACCAGTTCATAAAAATGACATTTCCTAAACCTGTTGGCATGTGAAAAACTCTATTTGATTTTGATATAACGAATTATTGTCTTTATCATTTGATAGCTCTTAAATGATCTAATAAAACAATTGTCACAATGAAAATGTAGGTAAAAAATAATTACTGCAGGAACATTTAGACGAAACATTAAGCTAGATGCTATTTTTACTCTAAAGTTTGCTGTTTTAAAAACTGTGCCATTTCTTTCTTTCCCCCAAATTAAAGATTGGAACGAAACAAAATCAAAAGTTATGTTCTTGCTCAACTTTAACAGTTAACTGTATCTGTTTTTACAGTTACATACATTGTATTACACTATAATACAAAGAAAATGTATCACTTTCTGATAAATCCACTTTCTTTAAAATTATAAGCCACAACTAAAGGCTTTATTCATGTTTTTTAAACTGTTAAAGTAATATTTAATTTAAACTTTATAATCCTTATATAAGGAATCAGTTCTCAAAAAAAAACAAAAAACTTGGTGTCCCATTTTCTAATAGGCAAACATAAAAACTTAGTAAGTCATCTGGACAGTGTTTATAAATGTTAATATGTCATTAATATATTGCAGTAATTCCAGTCTAGAGCAATACCAAAGATTATACTTAAAATCACTAAAGTAGTAGCTTTAAAACACAATTAAAATACCAACAATACAAATACTTTAAAAATGGTATGCTATTGGATTCTAAATATTTGTCCATCTATTCATTGTTGGCAGGACTAACTTTAGGTAATTACACCTCCGGGTATCCAGTCAATAAAACTCCTGAAATCAATAGATTTGTGTAAAATAATATATCAGCATTTATTTGTTGATGATTATATATTACATTATTATCTCAATTGGTAGTGTAAATGGTACGTATCCTTATCAAAATTATTCCATGCAATGGAGCATAAAGCAACAAAGGATTAAAATTCTCGAGTGCCCTAGCACTATTAAACTTGCCCATTTACTTTACTGTACATTTTTGATATATACGTTTTAGACAAAAAGCTCTGCAGCCAAAAAAGCCACAACATAGCTACCCTAAATAAGTGATGTGTTATACTGTATTAGTAAGTGATTTATCAACCATTAATAAAGCAGTTATAAAAGGTTAGAAATTGTAACATTCTGTATAAGTATATAGATATATAGATACAGTTTCCTAAAGAAATAAAACTATCAAATCTCATTAGAAGCGACAGTCTGATAGATCAGAGCCCTGTACACAGATTAGCATTCATCACCCAGGAGGTTTTGTTTTATATACACCTATATAACAATATAGCTGAGACTCATATACTTTTATGGCCCACAGTCATGTCTTTACTGCACACAGTCCTTCGCCCCTCACACCCACCTCACACCCCTAGTCACTACAACCATACAGTAGCTAAAGCCACGAGGCAGAGCCCTCGCTCCTGCACCATCACTGGCCTCTAAGGGAAGGTAGCTTATAGGGCTGCTGCTTTATAGAGGGTAAGGGTCTTACGTGATTTGTTTTTGATTGATCTCAGCTATCTGGGCAGCGTTGTGACCCGGTCCCCTACGCCGCAATAGGTAAGGGTCGGACCCATGTCTGAGAGGGAGGGGTCAGCAGGGGGAGGGCTCTAATCACTCTCTCCTTTAAAGGGGAATCGCTTTGGGTTGTGCCTCTGTGCTGGATTCAAGTGAAGTACAACTAATGGTAAAAATTACTGCAGGACACATTTGTCAATACTCTTCCCAGGCACAGTAAGCCTGCTGCGGCATAGGCTGCAGTTTTTAGGCTTGTGAGCAAGCACGAGGAGCGGTTTTGGACTGTGGAGAAGCATTTTTGTCTTTGGATTGTATTTTGAATACAGACATGTTTCTCTGCAACCAAAACAAATAAGCCTTGAATCAATAGAGGACGCACATGACTGATAGACTGGAGTATTCCCCTTTAAAGTTTTGTTCCATGTGCAAAATGCCATGCATGCATTCTCTAAACTTCTCTCTACGACCAAACAAATAACAACAATTCTCAAACTAAATTCTTCGTCACATTTGTTGTCCTAAGTGCTTTCGTTTTTCTGTCATGTGACTGTTTTTTAATGGCCATTTCCTCTTCCTGTCATGTGACTTGTTCTTTAACGGCCATTTCCTCTTCCTGCCATCTCCTCCCGTCAGCATGGTGAAGCCTCTGTACGCAGTGTTCATGTTTATGAAAGTGTGCTGTACAGTGTTCATGTCTATGGAAATGTACTTAGTTTAACACACTGTGGCCCCTGCACACAGTGTATGTGATAATGAAATTGTTCTCTATCTGTCCAGGACTGTTTCAAACATTTGTCTCCCCCTCTCTGCTAATGGCTCTCACTCTCTCTCTCCACAGTGACAAATGAAGGACAAGCATCTCTAAAGTTTTGTGTTCCCTATGCCTTTTGAAACAATCCATTTTTCGTCCAACAACTTGACTTAATTTGACATTAAGTCAAGTTTTGAAGCTGTTTGTTTTCAGTTAATTGAAGTGCTAAGACATTAAGCCGACACTAAGACTCTGAACTTTAGAGTTTGTGAGGTTAATCAAATTTCATTTAATTGCATCTTTCTATGAGAGATGACCAACAAAACCAGAGTATTCTGTGTGAGGTAAACTGGTATTCTATGACAAAGACCTTACCTTGATGTCATTTTTGAACATTGATTGTTATGATTTAACTTGCATGTATCACTCATGAAATGAAAATAGTTCATAGAACAGTATTTATAAAACACATCTGAGCACACTTAAAATTACCACTTAGATATCTCTTTTGCTCTACTGTTAAGTAAACAGAGTGATATTGGAAGATATTTCAAAAGTACATTTAGGCTTCATTGATACGGGAACAGTCATTTTAAAGTTCCTGAAATTATTTTCATTTTATGAGTTGTATACAGCAAAGAGAACAATATATTGCCCGCATTACTGAAGCAGTCACTTTTTAAAGACCCCCAATTAGTGAGCACAGCAATTTCAATAATTGTCTAAACCGTTATTCCAAGACTACAAGTCCCTTATTTAAAATTACAACATGGGACCAAAAATAAGTACATTTGTAGCACTTTACCTTTTAGGAGTAATGTGTGGTATACAATTATGTTATTCCAATAAATCATGGACTGGGTCTTTAATGTAATGATTGTTTCAGACATAATAAATTCACCATCTCTACATTATGTCAATTTCTCTTTCTTTCTTTCTCTCACTTTCTCATTTCTGTCCCATCCTTCTTTCTTTAAATCTAACTTTGATCATCCATCATTGCAGATAGAAAGTGGACATTCATCATCTTAGTTAAAGGGCTCTCAGTATAAGTACAAGAGCTCATCGAACCATAACATAATGAAAATAGCTATGCAAAGTGTATTTCTGCTGTTAACATGTAGACGGGCATGACTGTTGGATTAACGGAGCAACGTGTGCTGTGCTGTCTCTCTTCTTCTCAGAGAACTTCTAGGTGCGTCTAGTGATCCTGCCGGGTCTGAGAGCTTACCAGCACTGCTACACCACTGTATTACTAAAGCCAAGGGAGGGGCTGCCAACAACAATAACAACACAACCTCCGTAAGAAGAACAGGTTCGTCTGATGCTTAGAAAAAGTGTTTATCTTAACTCTCTGAAGCGCTTTAAGGGCCTTTTTTGCCGTCTTTTTCTTTTTCCTGTCACATTTGACTCACTGCAAGCTCTTTTTTCACTGCACCATAAGTCCTTCACCTCTATGAAAACAACCATGGCTATAAAGACTCTTACCAAAAATTCTAACAACACAGGCATAATGATCATTACAATATTTTTGTAAAACATTTTTAAGTTTGGAACTTTAAAGAAAATAGAATTTCTTTAATGTATTTAACAAAAAAAATGATACAATTGAATTATTGACAATATAAAACATTTTCCAAGTACCTGCGAGTCTTACCAATATTGGTATAAAACATGGCATCTCCAATTGCAATACAAATTGACAACATGTTCTCCAACTCATACGACCAAATAGGTCGATTGTTCAAGCGCTTATTACGACCTATAATCACGTTTTAAAGTTCTCAACCTCTAGTGCTCCTGTTGAATGCAAACTCTCTGGAGCGTCGTATATTCACAAATAACCCTCTCTGGAAAATCCTAAATTGTAGGATAGTTTGGCCATTAAAATGCTTTTTGATTAGATTTCTAGCGAGAAGTGTATATTGTACTTTCAGAATCCACGTCCAGTGGATGTGTAGGATCTATAGTTTGATAGATATTACGAAGATGATTTGAGGTCTCGCCAGGAAAACTGTATATGCGGCAGCGTCCATGTAAAGTTAGCGTCAACACGTAAACCCTCACGGGGTGAAAACAGTATTTCCGGTCTCGAAGTTTTCATAATAAAACCGTATTCCCCCCACTGTCAAATGATTTCAAAGCTATATCTGCAGTACTCATCCACTAAAAACATCAGTTTATCCTTGTTAATTACACAACATTAATTGATTTAAATCGTGTACAATGCTTTTGTGTTTTTCCCATAGGCTTTTCCCTGAGAGACACATTTCTTTTTTCAGAGGTTTTGATAGGCTAAAACATCTACCTACATAATCCTCAGCTACCGTTCAAGCTTGGTGTTTGGATGTTTTAGCCGCAATGCACGTTCGGATATGGTGTTTGTGCGATATGAAATAGGGTTTGTAAAGGAAAGCGGATGTTGTAGTCCTAAACGATAGCTGAGGATTCTGGGTAGTGTAGTGTCTTCGGAAACTCTGTAGTGTCTCAACTCCAAAAAAACTATTTGTTTCTCCGAATCGAAGGTTAAAAACACAAAAGCATTGTACACAATTTAAACCAATCAATATTGTGTAATTAACAAGGATAAACTGATGTTTTGTAGTGAATGAGTAATGCAGATATCACTGTGTGATCATTTGACAGTGAGGGGAATATATCCGGTTTTATTATGAAAACTTCGAGACCGGAAATACTGTTTTCACCCCGTGAGGGTTGACCCTAACTTTACATGGGCGTTGCGTAAAGACGTAGTCCACGTTCTCCTGGCGAGACCATAGGGCGAGACCTCAAATCATCTTCATAATATCTATCAAACTATAGATTCTACACATCTACTGGACGTAGACTTTAAAAGTACAATATACACTTCTCGCTAGAAATCTAATCAAAAAGCATTTTAATGGCGGCAACGGGAGCATGTTGTTTCTTACACGACCACTAGAGGTGCTACACTTTAAAACGTGACTATGGGTCGTAATAAGCTGCTGAACAATCAACCTATTTGGTAGTTTTTTGTAGGAGGACAACCTCTCTTGTCCTTTACTCTCTGCTCTGTTCAAACAGTGTAAAGTTTAGGTAGAGTTTTGTCACATCATAGTCGGTGTCTACCTAAAAACTCAAGATGTGCTAAGGGGTGCAGAATATTCGTTTTTTACAGGATCTGGTTAGAACTTTAATTGAGACATGTAAAATAAATAGATTTTGATGAAATATCACAACATTAAGCTTGGTTTGGTTGCTTTAATCACATAATGTATTCAAGGGCCGCTGGAAACTTGAAAATCCAACAATATTGTTTCAGGAGTTTAGAGCAGAGCAGACCCAGATGCAGGCTGACTGGTAACAAAATACCTGTGGTGGATGGTGTGTTACTCCTTTGCTTCTCTCTGCCCCCCTTTCAGGTGTGTGTCCCTCTCAGACCCAGCAGCAATCTCAGACCCCCCAAGAGGGAGAGGATCTCCACAGAAAGAGGAAAAGGCAAAACAAGAAGAACCCCTATGTCTATTTGACCTCCTTCCTGCACCGCAGGCAGTCTGAGGATGACCAGACAGGCATACTGGCCAGTGCAGACTCCGAGGGCCCAAATTACGGCACTCTACGCTGACCCGTGTGCCCCCAAGCCATTGGACTAGACTGAACCCACCTCAGCCCTCCCTGCTCCACCCCGGGCTCTAGCTAACACATTTCTTATAATCTCTAAAAGTTCATCAGGGCTGGGCAGCGAGAAACATCCAGCTGAAAACTCCGGGGGTTGAAAATCTCATTTGAAGTCAAGAACAATGGCTTTTCTGACTTGGCACCACCACTTGTCTCTGAGGAATTTCACTTGAAAACATTTCAAACATATATAATGTATATAAATAGTAAAAACAAGGGAATTAAGCTTCCTTCTACAGTAATAAAAATGTGTTGGTTGAGTATGTCACAACACGTAAAAGATTTTTCACTCACTGGTCATTGATAGGTCCATATCTTTAGGTTTTCCAGTGATACAGTGTACTGTGAAACCTGGTGCGTCCTCGGACATGGACATGGGTCTACCTTTCCTACAATACAAATAGCGTCAATATTAAAACACAGGGTTCTTACCACAAAATATACCTCAGAGTAAACGCAGAGTTGCTGTAAATCTTTGGGTATACTGTAAGTACTTGACCTTTTTACATATGAAACGTATGGATTAAAAGGTTTATATCACACGCCGCACTCATTCAGACAGATAATATGGCCTAACTTGATCTAATTTAGCTTTTTACTATCGATAATAGCTGGAATTTTGTGTTTATTTTCATGTATGATTCAATGCCAACCATTAGAGGACTGTCTTAATTGTTATGCTTGATGGCTGAGTGTGTTTACACTTATCATTAAAGCACCAAATTAAGAACAAGATCATAGCCTTCATGAGAGCTCTCAAAATAATTTGGGGCTTACACGATCAACAGAGGTTGGACTTTAGGTTTAGAAGAACAGGGTGATGAATTGTGAAGTGTACTGTAGTATGTATTTCATTATTAAGAAAATCATTTGTGGAACGTGGCACGTCTCTAGGTGCCTTTTTTTGCCTTTTTCTCTTGTTTTTTCTAACATAAACTGCCTTTTCCTTCGCCTTCTCATATTTGTCTCTTCTGGAGGTTGGAAGTGAGAGACTTTAATAGTATGTGTGTTTTTACTTTCTCTGCCAAGGACACATTAGAGAAAATGCTACAGAGAATGCATAACTTCTTTGTTGTTTTTTACATTTATATTTTAAATGGGTACCTGCTTCAACTTTGTGTATCCGAGTAATAGTACAGAACCAGATTACCCATACAAAAAAACACCAATTAAAATAAAAAAGGCAAGTAAATCCAATAAATACCACTTTATCTTCAAGTACAAGAGCATTGTGCATGAGTTTTCATGCGTAACTAGTAGGATGTTAATGTTTAACGACAGCTGTTAGAGGAGAATGTGATTTATTCATGAAGCGGTTAACAAGCAATGGGAAACACTCTAACAATGGCCACCCTGACTGTTTATCTTTAACAACTGTATATTACTTGCTAGCTACTTCTCTGTATGTTTGTTAGTTTTTCGTCACTAACCGATAATGAATGTATGTTTTGCTGTACAGAAAACGAATGTTCCGATGTCAAAGTATATCGAATGACCCATTAAGTTGTTTATAGAGCAGCTGCCATTGGTGAGATGTCCAGTTGGCAAATTAAGTCCAAATTGTTTAACTTCTCTGTGTTATTGCTGCATGAGGTAATAACTAACAGCCCCACACAAGTCCTGAGCCAAGCTCCCTTTCCCTCTGATGGCTACAAAAAAAACATTTCCTTTTTACTGCTAATGCTAGTTCAATCACTCAAAAACATATCAGCTATATTTCCATCTGCTACAAACAAATCAGAGGTTTCCGACAAATATCCACATGAATGAATCGACTCAATGTCTGCTTATTGAAATCTCTTTTGACAAGTGAGAGAGTGATGATTGCCTGAAAGTGAAAGTGCATATTCTACTTTAACAAATTGGTTTCATGTAAGATACGAGTAAAACAAAAAAAGATCTATATTTGTTATGTACATGGTATGTATTGTATTTGTAAAGATTAATCAAACCATGTTTTACAGGAAGACGTTCTTGTATGAGGATGTATGAAAAGACGGGAAGAATCCCTAGGAAAAATAAATTAGATTATATATAAAAGTATTTGCTTACAGTACGGCTTTAAGCGGATAATGTTTCTAAAACATTTTAAGGTGCCTCATTTGTTATACTTTAGCAGACATTATTTTATCTGAGAAGAAAAGAAAACCTTAATGTTAGTACCGTACGATGTATTATTGCCATAGCCCGCTGGCTGCACAAGTTAAGTAGTATTTTCTCTGATGTATAGTACGTGAATGCCCTTTGGAAAAAGCTTTAGAAGCAGACGTGTGTTGCCCTCTATAACAATATTCTTGGAACAAAGTAATACTCTTAGATTTATCCAGATCTTTCGCCTTCAGGTGTCCTAAGCAAATAAACGGAAGGAAACTTTTTTCTAAGCGTCACAGACATGCTCTCGTCATGTACAATACGTGCTGTGGAGGAAACTGTGTTTACATTAGTTTGATGAAGAAAAGTGTGTTAGGGCATAGTTGCTTTGAACATTACGACTTGGTGCTATGTTTAACTTTGTGGTGCTGTAGAATAGAGGTCTAAAGATTTTTTGTTCTGTTTTCACAAGTAGGCCCTGTGTGTTTGAGCAACTAAACTAGCTCCGGTAGACTCTATAGGTCCTTATAACAGTATCATGGTGTGATGACAGTGATAGACAATACTGGAAAAATAGTAGTATAACCTCGAGTAATAGAGACATGTGACATTCAAATGAACTCCTGTTTTCTATAGTGTGTTTGCAATGTCTGTCTGTGCTTCCAAGGTACCCTCTCTAAAGTATATTTGTGATGATACTGACAATATTAACCAAGCCTAAAAAGAGAACCTGGTTTAAATTAGTACACAGCCGCAGGACACATGAGAGGGAATCTGAGAGCAATGTCAGGTCGCGAGGGGATCTTTTCTACACACTTCCTGTAGGTCCGCCATCTTTGGTTAACAGCACTGTTTTTCAAGCACACTATCTGCAGGGGCGTAACCGTCTCATGTCATCACCACTTTTCTGACCGTAGAAATACTACTAGTACTGTACAGTATGGCCACGAGTAGCCATCAGACCACATTTGTATGTAATACTGATTCTCCTGGTTGAAAGGTGTTGGGAAAGCTCATACATCCTCTCTGGGTTTAAAACGAATGGATGTTGTCTTCCGGGCTCTTTTTTTGCATATTCAACAGAAACATGTAGCCTACAGCGTTTAAGAGGGCTGCTTTGGACGTACTGTTAGCTCGTTTTTTTTGTTTCCTTTTCGATTTTTCTGCTTACAGCTTTTAGTGCATCACTAGGTGCTGGTAGGATGATACTTAGAACCATTTTGATTTTTTATTGTATTAATCTTGCATGTAGAGACAATACAAGAAAACGCCTACTGTATTTAGCAATCATTCATGGACATCCGAGCTGGTTGTTATTGGACGGAAAATAGAAATATGTAGTATTTTCTATATTCTCTGTTTTTTCATGTGTACCAGCACTGAGAAACTAGAATGTATTATTATCGTAGGCTACAATAAGCACTACATCGTTGACTGTTTTAGCTATTGCTCATACTCAAGCAAACCAAGTAGTGCTTAAAAAGGAAGAAAATTGACTACATTTAATTTCATTTTCATCCACTGAACTCTGTGCTGTTCATCACATGTTTACATTCTGTATTATATGTTGTTTATTGTTTTTTTTGTACATAGTTTGTCTCCATAATGGTCTTTAAGTTGTATTCAACACTGTTCATATGTAAATATTTCCCAACATTTTTTTTTACTTTTCTCTGTTTTAAAATGATAACCTGATGTCCCTTTTTTGTGTTCAGTTTTTAGACTTGTATTTCCGTTATGTCACCACATCAGGTATAACGCTTCACTTAACTTTTTGTGAGCAATTAACTCATACTGTATGGTGCTGTACCAAAGCCTTATGTATAATATTTGTATTACTTTATCTCTTGTTTGCCACTGCTGTCCAGTGAGTTCTGTATCATCTGAGATCATGTCTTACTCACTCTTCATGTTCAACTGCCATGGATCTCATTTCTTTATTGAGTAAACAGAAACCTGAACGAACTATGATGTAAAAACTCTGGCCTGTAACCAACTGGCCTGGATATGACAGTCGCCATCAAAAGCCTTTGTAAGGAGAAACACACAGGCTCACTGCTGGTGGCTCATTGTGACGTAGACATGGGCCTAGCACATGATCTATGCTCTATATATGGCATGTCTATGAGAATATGAAAACAGTGTTGTATTCATGTCACCATATCATTTCAAAAATGCTTAGTCCCATACGAAATTTTCCTCTCAAATTTTTGTATTTTGATATAATAAAAAAATCAAAAGAGGTTTTATTTTTCCTTGTGGATTTATTTTTCCTAGACTTGAGCTCCTCTGTTCGTATCTCTCAAGAAGGTGTAGTTCATATGCTGCACACAGGGTGTAGGTGGTGGGCAGATGGAGATAGGGTGGGGATTGAGCGGTTTAATCAGGCCAGGTTTTTTTTGCTCTTTAATCCTAGGACACACTAGCAGCAGCCCATGAGTTTAACTGCAAGGTTTTATATCAGATTTTTATCTCAAGAAAATGTTTTTTCCTTTGATTTGTAACATGTCGGATATATGACTTTATTTAGAATGGTGCTATTGAGATCAAAGTCTATGTTTAAATGCACACAAGTTGTTAAATGATTAATATTTTGACACCAGCTTGGCTTTCTTGGCCATTCAAACATTAAGGAATGATTTGTGTGGCGGAACAAGAAAAACAAATAACTTGAAAGAGGATGAGTCCTATCAGAATGACCTTTGTGCTTACCCCCAGCAGGCACACAAACAAATGAGCAGCGATCTGCATACACCTGGAGAGCAGTTAATCCACTGGGCAAACAAACCAACCTTTGGAGGCGTCACCAACTCTTTTGACAAAAAAAGTCTAATTGTTTAACATTTTTCTTCAGCTATTATATAAAACGTAAAAACATAGTTGTTCCTTTAAGTGATTTTGGCTTGGTCTGTAACTCACATTTTTCTTCTCATTCAATTTGTCAGTTTATTCAGTTTTTTTCCAGAAACAACGCCTATAACGATAATAGTTTGGCATTGAGAAATACACGTATGTGTTCTTGCCAAAAAGTAATTTAAGAGGATTGATTAACTTTTTCAGCAGCCCATCTTATATACTGCTCCAGGTAGCAGCCAGTTAGCTTAGCCTAACAGCTGGCCTGGGTCTTATTCGAGGTAACATATACAGCACATTGTAAGCTCACAAATATTACACTTTACAGTAGTTGAGCTTTAATCATAGAGCTAATACAAATATATATTTTATATATATTTCTTATAACTTCCTGTTCACTATGGAGTTGCCAGGCAACCAGTTGAGACTTGTGGAAGCTACTGCAACCTATCTGTTGAACATAATGAATACAGTATACTAGAAAACAATAGGGAACATATTTATGCTTATCTTACACATTGTATTATAGATCTGAGTATAACTAAAGTAAACAAGAAATTGAGAAAAAACTGGAAATTAGTTAACTTTGAGATGCTGCTTAGCGTTCTATAATTGTAATTATATTTATTACTTTGGACCATGCTGTATTTACCCGTTACTTTATGTCTCTTCAATGTGTAAATAATAGCCTGCTTAAATACTTTCCACCACTGCCAAAATGTAGAACTATTGCTCTAAAAATGTTGACTGATGTTAGGTATTTGGTAGAGGAATAATATCAATAATAACAGTAGTACAATTGTCAGATATAAATAAACAGAGACTTAGAGATTCATCTTTTTGTTGCATCTTGCAGTTCTTGCAGGGTCAGGGATCTTAATGGTGTCCCAGTGCCTCCCCAGCAAAAATAAGTATTTGAAATCCTCTCCTTTAGTGGACGGGCACAATAAGATGATGTATATTAGGATGGTGGTTTGCAGGTTTTACTCCTCTCACTGTTACCACCCACTAGATGGTTATGTAATTCTGTACCAAGCATTACCTAACACCACACAATTTGCCAGATGGGGCTCCTCAGGCTGGTGAATATTTTCAAAAAGGATGAAGGGGGGAGGGGGGGCTGCATACTCTCACGCCTGCTGCATATTCAGGTCCTTGACATTGAAAAGGTCTGGGAACCCCTAGGGCTAAAACATCCCAGGCGCGCGAGCACGAGATCAGTTGTGCGCGCTCTCGCTGGCGAGTGCAGATTCACAGAGCGAGCCAGCTCCTCGGAATAACTCCCACACTGCCTCAGCCTCAGAGATGTCGCACCCGAGCACAGCTTTCACCACAGAAAACATCTACCTCCGATGATCCGCTGTAAGCCTGCGTGTGTGTCCGCGATGAGCGTTTCTGCAGTGCGATGCTGACAGCATGTTTCCTCGTCGAGAAGCTCAGCGCTGTGCAGCATAGAGGAGTGGAGCAACGTGCACAGTTACAGGTAGGCTGTTCGATCAGGGAGTCAATACCACACACATTATTGAACCGCTGTCACTGCCCTGATGTGTCATTTTGAAACCTGATTCAGGCTGTTTTACGAATCGATCAGCCGATCAATTTGGTAAAATGACCGTGTGTGTGTGTGTGTGTGTGTGTGCGTGTGTGTGTGTGTGTGTGTGTGTGTGTGTGTGTGTGTGTGTGTGTGTGTGTGTCTGTCTGTCTGTGTGTGTATGTGTGTGTCTGTATACTGTGTGTATGGAGTCGAACGGTGATCTGTCAGGCCCAACAGGTCATAGTACACCGGTGGTTAACTTTTCCCCCTGTAGCCCACATTGTCTGGTTGCTCTATTGAATTAGACTGTTTATTTTGAAACCCGTTTTACGATGGTTGTTTGTTGGTAGGTTAGAGGGAAAATAATAGGCACGATTTAAGTAACTTAGGCTCTGTAGCTTTGAAAATACTGATCGATTGGGCGAGAAAATCGACCAAAATTGAGTGGGGATATATTTTGACATCGATTCATGTCATTTTTGTGTAAACTTAAGCAAGTTTCTGCCAGTTTATAGACCACATTATTTGATCATTTATCAAGAAAATAATCATACAATACCATAAGATAATGTTTTATTGTTAGATGTTTCTTGCATCACAGCAGCTTCATTTGCAACATCAAGAAGGACACAGAGGCAACGAGAAACACATACAGCAGATAATTCAATAAAGGAGCCTAAATATCTTTTATAATATTGTACTAGTTTATAAAATAAATCATCAGTGATGTAATTAGAGAAAATACAAAGGGAATTGATAAAACATGTGTAATTTCTAACAAATTATTGGGACTGAGAGAGAAGTAACAGATTAACCATCCTTTCTTTAAACATATTCTCAAAAATTCACAAGTTCCAATTTATCAGGTTTGGGGACTGGCTGCCTATTTTATGTAAAAGTAAACTGAATTTATTTGTGTTTTGGAGTGTTTTTTCATCTTTTCGTCATTGGCTTTTGTCATTATTTTCTTTTGACTATTTATAGATCGAGTGATTCATGAATAAATTAGGGAAATAATACGTTTAAAGATAGTAATGCTGCCTTTTACACTGTATTGTGAAGCCTGTGGCTACACTGTGCCATACTTGTATGTGTGTAGGAGTGCGTAGGGACAACATAATAGATATGTTTGGTATTGTATTATGTAATGCAGTGCAAAACACTCATAACACAATCATGGCCTCAACATGTACAGCCACAGTTGAACATGAGTGAAGGTAGTTATTGTTGCAGGGATGTTGTATTGGATTGCATTAGATTGGGCAGGTGACATATCACGTGTCATATCTCTGCGTTTCTGTGACACCTAATATTGGGTTAGTGAGCCAGCAGCTTTATCCTCTAGAATGAATGTCATATTCCCTAAATATGTGTCCCACTCAGTAAATACCCTCTTAATCCTTTATTTGACTGTCATTTGCCTATTTTGAGGAAGCGAATATGTGCTTGAAACCGAAAGGCCTGTATTATGTCACTGTTAGGCTTAGGTGATAGATCAGCTTGTCGATTAAATATTTGGGTCTCTGTTTTCTACAAATTAATCGCCCTGCTGTTCACCCCGCTTTCGACCCTTTATTTGTGACGCTGGTGGCGGAAGGACAAAGATAGAGCCGTGACACCGACTCAGTGTCTGTGAGATGAAATAAAGTTAATCTCACCCTTTTAGACTTCAAGAAGATTTTAGGATCATATGACCCCCCCCCTGCCACCTCTCCCTCTTACTCTTACTCCACCTTCAAAAAGTCAAATGAGAGACAAAGCTTTATCAGAGGTTTATTTAAAAAAAAAAAATGGTTGCAGTGTGCTCTTCCTGAGGGAGTGGCATCATCATTGTGCTAGCAGCGATTTCATTGGCTCGGGCAGATTGTGGTTGATGACGATGGAGAGGATGTGTCAAAGCTTATGGTCAAAGGTTGCTCACAGGCTTGATTTTCCCTCGCCTTGTTAACTCATCCTCAGTCTGGATGGAGCTTCAAGTCACGATGGACCGGAGAGAGGTTACCATGGCAACCAAGAGCCTTTCTCCACTGCGCCTCTCTGGCTTGTGTTGTCTGCATTCCAGAGCTCAGAATGAGAGCATGAAACCAACTTTACACTGGCCTGTCTCATCCCTGAGGGAGACGATGTTTGTTTACAGTATGGTTAAGCTGCATCAAAATCCAGACATGAGGATGCAGTTAAAGCTGCTGCTATTCTTGTTTTTATATTGGTAATTGACCACATGACTTAGTGTACTCAAAGGGATTACTTGTTTTGATAATTATCATTGGACCTGTTGATGTATTGTGATTTTAAGGGTGTCCACAGCTGAAAATTAGCAATGTTTGCTAAAGCTGCCCCATTTACTGTTTTTTTGACAGTTGATCTATGGGGACTGTCCACGACACTATAAACAAATAAACTAAACTGAATCAAACCTCAGTTCCCCACAGTTTTTTGAGCTTCGTAGTGTCTTTCAGCCCATTGTTTTGGTTTTCCAGTGCACAACTTTACTGTATTTGTTCCCCCTCATAGCTTTCATTTGTAATATCAGCAATTAAGCTTAGACACCTCCTGGACGCTAACTTCCTATCACCAAACAGCAGATGGAAAAAGTTAGAAAGAAGCTTCTATATGTAGCGTATTATAGTTGTTCACTATTTTGCATCTAAAGACATAGGGATTTCCATCAGATGTTTCATTCGAGAACAAACAAAGCTAAAAAAAGTGAATATTAGACCTACTTCTTCATTTAGACACAAATATGGTAAATAAATGATAATGTCATATACTCTGTAACTGCTGTATGTGATAATAAGAAACTCTTTCCTAAAAAGTGTCAAAAGTGGCCAAAACATCAGTAATTGCAGGTTTAGTTCTTTTTTTAAATAAGGATTTAAAGGGGACCTATTATGCAAAATCCACTTTTTCGTGTCTTTTATACATCAACATGTGTCCCCTCTGTGTAAAGAGATTCTGAAAGCTTCAGGAAAAAAGATTTGCTCACTTTTTATCCTGATCCATTTGTATAAAAACCTGTCTGAAAATGAGCTGATTTTGGCCACTTTATGATGTCATGACGATTTTCTGGCTTGTGTAACCATTAGCCAATCACCAACCAAGGTAAGCCCCCCCCACCTTATCACCTGAATCTCCTCCTAGAGCACCATTGTGTTCTTTTTAACCAAATATCTCTCAGAGGGGAGTGGCTCCTTATTTTCATCTAAGTAACAGACAGAGAATCAGCACTTTTGAAACAGGGCTGAAACAGAGGGGATTATGGGATGTTTGGTATTTCAGCCAAACATTTCAGAGACAAATTTTGTATATAACTGAGACCTATAATATATTGATGAAAAACAGTATACGAGGGGACCTTTAACACTTCAAGGTACAGCAGTTCCTGGCTTTGGACTCATACTGTAGATAAGTTTGCAACTAAATTCCTCATCTTTTTCAAATACTTGCATTTGGTATTTCGCTATGAGACAATGGAGATAATGACAAAACAGCTTTATTATGACTCACATCTTTATTTGACACAATTATGTCTTTAATCAGCTAACTAAAGTGGCTCGGTAATGTGTGTCAATTACAGCTTAAACAACATGTGTGTCCGAAATCTCCGAAATAGGTATATACTTACAGTATACTGTGTATGTGTTATATGTTGATTTCGGTTTGGATTAGACATGTTGTTTAACACCAATAGAAAAGATGTGAAATGGCAGATGTCCTTCTTCTCAGTGTTACTTCCTCCCTCCTCATTATGTGAGGGAGGCAGTGACTCACTAAGATTCATCTGCTGTGGGTTTGTAGCTCTAAATATGTAGGCAGCCATTCTTCATGTCAAGACACTTGCTGATAACGGTTTCATAAACAGTGTGCGAGATTGTGTAGGCTGCCCTATTTTCTTGAAAAGCGCCATGTAGGCCATTGGATACCAGGGCAACATCCTTCTGTGCTGCTTCTGTCTCCTGACTTCAGAACAACGCCTCTCCCTTAAAGTGTGACAGGTAGATGAACAGTTTTTTCTTAATGTGTTTGTATGTGACTGTTAGGGAGGTTGTATAAGGATGATTTCTACCCTATTCACAGTTTATTCTACATGTATAATAACATTAAACCGGTATCTTTTTTTGTGTCCTGGTTTGACATTGTTCTATTTTTACCGCCTATGATGCAGCACAAAGTGTCAGTACTGTAGGTTCAACCAATTTGTCGCAGGCAGGCAGGCAGGCAGGCAGGCAGGCAGGCAGGCAGGCAGGCAGGCAGGCAGGCAGGCAGGCAGGCAGGCAGCTAGCTAGCTTTTAATGCTCGCAGCTTGCCAGCCTCCTCTGCAAAGTGAAGTACATCATGTCCCTTCACTTGAAAGACTCACTGATGTCTGATGTGGAACAATCAGCAAGGTCAGGCATTGTACTGTGTACCATGTAACATTTTTTTATGATTTGCTGCTAGGAATCTCTGCCCTCCTTAAGCACCACATTTTAAAATACATACTTTTTACACAATTATTGGATGACTGTGCGGCACAGCTTTGTTTTTCTGGTGTCCTAGTCACGCTTCATTTTACTCCTAATGCTTCCAGTTCTGTATCATTTGGTGACACACCTCTCATTGAAATATGACTTGCCAAATACCGCTCCACCCTAATGACCCTCACTGTTTAAAACAGCACTCAATGTAACTCTTCTCAACAATACCTTAAATTGCTCTCTGTGTAATATGTTGGGTCTCCTTTGGCAAGGTTATGGTGTCTACTATAGAGGAGATACAGCATGAGAGAGATAGAGCAGAGACCGGTATGCCTTGTGTTCCTGCCTGCTCACATTCTGCTGAGTCAGGAGGTTTTGTGGAAGTCAGTCAACAGCAACTCAGTGAGGCTACGAGCCAGAGGGGCTGGTGGGAAACTGCCACTACAGCAGTGGCCATGAATCTACTAGTTAAGACCTGCTTAGGGAAGAGTTAAAACAGCCTCCTGTTAATTGGAGGGATTATTTTAATGATGTGGCAAAACCTTAGAGGTGATAGGAGAGGCCTTTTTTCTGCCTACATGCCCCAATGATTGTTGACGTTAGGAAGAGTCTAGTTTCGCTTCATCAGGATATTCGTTCGCTTTGTTTACACTACATAAATATAGGCGTAGTGATAATAGAGATGTGTAAAGAGTGGAAGTGATAGGGGTTGTCTCAGTATTCTCATGGATTCAAGGAAATGTAGAAATGTGTTTCCAAAAACACAAGGGGAGGCAATATCTGAATACTTTTTTTGTGTAATATGTAGACTGTTTTTGTTATGGTATATCAAGGAATATGGTAATGTGGCTGACTTGACAAAGCTGTCTGTTCAAAACAAAACAAAATGTGTTCGTCTATATATGTAGTACTTCATGTGAAATAGAACTACATGCCCCCTGGTTTTCTTTATGCCAGTTAGATTGCAGCAATTTATTAAATGGAACCATATTTAGGAATTTGCCCCATGTGCTCAGTGGTAGCACTACTGTTGAAATCTGAGCCTTCTGTGAGGAGCTAACATGTTTTTTCTTTCCTGATGGTGTCTCCAGTTTATTTTCACAGTTCAACGTCATGTAGGTTCAGGTTCAGGTTCAGGTCAGGTTCTTTATTTGTACCCGTAGGTAGATTTTGTTTGCAGAGAAAAAGACAAGGGATCCATCCTGACACACTAAAAACAAACAGTCACAGACACATCTCTAATAAAAGGACTAGTAAAAAGTACAAGTACCCCATGCTCAGGTTAGGTTGAATGCTCTCTATGTGGGCATACTTGCCAAACTTGAGACAAAAAAAGTAGGGAGGATTTTGTAAAACAGCGCCAGTGGTTTGAAGGCCCTCCCCCCAAATAATTTGAGGAACTATGTTTCCTGCATTCTGGTAAATTCTAAATAATGAAACAAAATGATAAAAACATGGCAATCAAATGTTCACGTTAAATACTTTCTTTAATTCTTAGAATACAAAATAATTATATATTTTACAGACGTCTAAAAATAGCTTGAGTATTTATTTTTTCTCTGAGTACTTTCTCTTCTCTCTTTCTCTCTCCATCTCCCACTCACTGAGGAGGATGAAGCGCAAGCAGCTCTCATAAATTAAGCTGTTTTCTGTCTGGCTGGAAACACTTGTCTTATGTCTAACTAAATACCTAAAAAATTATATTTTCAAGCCTTTATTTACCCAGGTGCATCCCTTGAGATCATTGATCTCTTTTTCAAGGGAGACCTGCATAAATATGATCTTTTTTATCTTTGCATATTTCAAGCTTGTGACTTCTACCAAAGGGCAAAAATAACAGATCCTAGATTTCTTGACCCATTTTGGATTGTTCCATCTCTATAGAATTTTTTTAGCTAGCGTTAAATGGGTAAGGAATGTACATCTTTGCCTTGTATTATTTGGGAGAACGCCTGACTGGACTGAGGGGTGCTAACTCAGATGTCCTGTTGTTAATATACACATATGTAGTGCACATATATATAGACTAGAAACAAATCTGAAAAAGCACCAGAATAAATATGTCCAAAATAATAAGCACCCTAAACCTGGACATGTCCTGGAGTTGCAATGACAATCTTGACATTTGCTTGCGGAGTAAGATATGAGTCTGTTTGGTTTCAAGCTAAAACATGTCAGTGCTATCTACGCTAAAAGGAGATCTGATGTTCTTGTGAAACCATCCTATGAATTTGCAGTCTGAAATGCATTATCACTGTAGCAACTCCCGGCACTCTAGTATGATGTCATCGCAGATTACAGTCTGGGCTCAGTGGATTGTAGCCTTGAGAGTCACACACGCTGCATCCCCAAGTGGGGTTGTCGTCTGGCGAATTCATTGCATCGGACTCTTCCTCCCATATTCTCTAACGCCCACCCTCCCTCACTCTCTCCTCTCCTTCCTACTTGTCTCTGTACAGCGCGCTGTTGCAGTCAGGCAGCATCATGGAGGCAGGATGTGTGGTTGCCGCGGTGATTGAGAATGCTGCCTCAGGACCCCAGGGTGAACCAGGAAATGGTGACGTCCTTGAAGGGTGAGTAGGAGCGTTTCATACCCTAACACAGGGGTCTGCAACCTTTTTGACCAAAAGATCCATTTTGCCCCCTGTTCCACACATTTGTTTAGTCTGGAGCCGCAAAACATATTTGATAGCTTGATAGCCTATAACGTTGTATATATTATTGTATCGTAGACACAAAACTACAGTTTGTTTGCATGTATTATTTATTACATTATAGAAAACTGTTTAACTCTAATAAGAAACAAAGAACTCGTATAAGGAGAATAAAAAAAAAATACACAGGCCTACTTTAAAATAAAAAAATAAATAAAACCTATAGCTGCACCCTAAAAATAGTTGTGACGTAATTATAACTGAACATCGTTAGCTGTCTTCCTCTTCCTTGTTTTTCCTCCAATACGTAAAAGCTACAGCACCTTTGACAACTTCTCTCCACATATCAAATATACCGGTAAGCCAGCATTGTTTTCTGTGAAAGCATATAACTCCAACCACGCAGAATTAAACCCCTGTGTTCCTCCGATATTTTTTTTTTTCTTTTATTTCTTTGGATTTATCCGTAGTTCGGCTCATCGAGCCGTGGGGCAGGTTATTCGGCCTGCAAGAAAAGGCGCTGGTGCGAGACCGTAGCAGGATGTGACGAATATTTTAGTTGACCTAATTAAAATCGTTTTTAAAAATGTTCATGTGTCACCTCAAAATACAAGATACGAAACATTTTCAACCGTGCAACAAAATATAAATAGTCCTACAAATATTTGTATTTTACTTCCTTCTTATTTTTGTCTAAGCTCAAGGGAACCAGAGTAGAGGGCTTAAAGAGCCACATGCGGCTTGGTTGCAGACCCCTGCCCGAACAGATATATATTTAAAACCATGAAGTGTATGTTTGTGTGAGTGTTTTTGCCTTTGAATGAGATGAATACAAGTAGGAGTAGTCTGATGAGCCTTAAACCTGACCCTGTTTTGCAGAGTAAAACAGAAAGGGAAGAACACTGTGTGTCTAACGTTACATTATGTCCAAAGCTTACTGCATTACCTATTATTTTAAATTGAAACTCTGTTATTAGCTCGGTCACTGTGGATTTCATAAATGACACAGTGTCTCATGTCCTGATCTCATCACACTGAATCACTGTGACTAATCCAAGGCCTGTCTCTTTTCCCTCTTAGTTGCTCATAAAAGTTTAGCTAAACGAACCTTACCCTCCTATCCTGTATGCATTGAGTCACATTTCAAGTGAGGTTTTTGTGTAGCACTCCCTTGTGGGTGGATTGCCTTTATGGCTCTCTGAATAGATGAATAGATGAGCTTTTCTTTTTTTGAGCAAATACAAAAGACTCCAAGGCTTTCTGTTGACCCTTCAGTAGTGAGAGATGCCACACATTTCCCTCTGTATGAAGGAACTGTTCCCATCTAGATCTGATTGTAAAGAATGTATTGTGTTTTATAGGTGTCTTTTTCTCTCAGTATTAAAGGTTCATACACCAACGACCTAATACAACATGTTGTTTTGGCCATGCCTGTGCGATGTCATGATTTGAGCACTGGCCAGAGATTTTGAAATCATCTCCCCTCACTTGCTCCCTCTGGTGTATTTATTTAAAAACTGCAAATCTTATATGAAGATCCCAGAGTACATAGATGTTAGCATTACGTCATGCCACCTTTCTATTGTATGATTCTGCAGAGACGGCCTACCGTCTGCTGACCAGGACAAAGATGATGCCTTACCTACAGCCACCAACAATAATCCTCCAGAGGAGAAACAGCCACAAGAGACATCCACTGCCATGGTACACACACACACACACACACACACACACACACACACACACACACACACACACACACACACACACACACACACACACACACACACTGACTCATCAGACACACATTCACCCTTGATTTATTTCCTTGAAGCTGTGTAATTTGTGTAGGTGATTCACACCATGAGGTTACTTACAGTTGGTCACATAGCACTCATGTGAGAGTCAGTCGTCACATTTATGAGGGTGAAAACAGGTGTAACATTAAAGGATGTCCCACCTTCAGGTTGAGATGGAGGTGATGTTTGGGAGAAGGGCTAAAGGCAAATGCGATATGAAAATATGATAACAGACCAGTCATATAATCTCCCCTTCCCTTCAGTTCACTTCTGGTTACTCCAGTTTAATGTTAATATCCTGCACAGCGCTCTTTCTTTATATCTTCTTCTCTGTAAAGGCATTACCCTCCAGCTTTTAGAATTCAAGTCTCTTGGACGAGTGTACGTTCAGCACACCAGATAGCCTATTAGTTTTTATGCATGTACGCTTTAATTTTCTAATTATACATCATCCTCCCCATCCATCAAAAACAGTCAAAACTAAAAACAGTAAAAAAAACAAAACACAACCATAAATAAAATGTATACAGTTATAATTGAATCATGTATATTATTAATAATAATAACATTATTACAATTTCTATCGAATAATGACCTGCCCTATATACTATAACATTGCATAATAGAGCATGAATAATATCTAACATAACATGTATACCATAATAATAGCTTTACAATCCAGTATGATATACAGTAAGCATGAAATAGCCCAACATAAATGATCATGGCATTAATATATTAGAATAATGGAAACAAATATATTGACCAGTTGCATTGCTTAGCATAACTCAAAATGAATATACAAAAGCAAAAAATTGCATTAAACCAATAGTATAATATGAAAGATATAGCATAATATTAGCGCAACATAAAAGCGTAGCTTACATTGTAGTTGCAATGGATGACGTAAACAAACATAAGTACAACATTTTATTACAGCTTAACTAAGCAAAAGATAGCGTTAGCATAACATGGTAAGAAGGTAACATAAGCATAATAGCATTAGCATCACAAAGACAAAGATGTACAACTCATTTACACATGTTGTTTTGTCATGTCAGGCTTCTAAGTTTGTGTTTTTTGCAGCACAACATATGTTTCAAAGTGATCAACATCATCAGTTGTGGCTACCCATCTCCATCATGTGTACAGTGACTGACTGAACCTCTTTGACGTGTTCTCTCTCTGTTTGGCAGGTGAGGACTGATGACATAAAAGAGCACCCAGCCGAGCCCCTCCTGCGCTCCTGTGTTAGCACAGCTAGCATGAAGGTCAAGAACATGAAGAAGTAGGTGCTCCCTGTGACAGTGTCGAAGCTATTATGGGCTGTAAAACAGGGCTGTTATCCAGGCCAGTGAAATGAGGACCTAATAAATGACGGGCGCGGCAGAGACAGACGAGTCAGCCCGCTGCCTCTCTAACCCTGTTCCCTCACACATTGGCCTAATCTCTCTTTCTTCTCCCTCTTTTGCTTAGCTTTGCTTTTCTCTCCACCATGGTGTCACTGTGTTGAATACTGATGAGGGACTGTTGTGCTGTGTGTTTTTAGGCTTACGTTCCCCAGAGGTCACTTCCCCACGTTGGCAGAGTGTGCTCATTTCCACTATGAGACTGTTGACTTTGGCAACATTCAGGTGAGAAAAAATACTTACACTGTGACTTCTTCAGCAGAGAATTACTTTGTTTAGTAATTGAGTTTTTGGCCCAAGTACAGTGGCCACTTTGGTGAATTGCTCCTGAAATGCATCACTCTTGAAATGCAATGTGGCAGTCAAATCAATATGCCTGTTTCTCTTTTCTTAGACCCTGTTTATTGCATTTTCCTTATTTGTCCTGAAATGCCACATCACAGCTTAGTTTGTCAGTTTAATCAGGAGATTTGACATATTCATTTGTCAAGAATAATACCCAATCACGGATAAATCATTTTGTTTTCAATGTGAGAGACGTAATAAGTCCCATTCCTATTAAAGCCATGATCAGCGTGTTAATCCTTCGCATTAGAGTATATTAATGTCAGACTCGTCAGACCTGTAAACCTGGGATCCAGCCTTATTAGTCTGACTCAACATGACATCATATTTAGTCATGATGTCAGCTGGAGACGATGACTCATTTTGAAAATCAAAACATGTTCGGGTAACACCAAAAGGATTGTGAGAATGTGTTCTTACACTTACATGCAGTTGGAGGTGAATTCGACATTCAAAACTACTTGCATAATACTGTATGCAAACCTTTTGGGGATATTTTAGCTCTGATTGAGACAGAGCTCTGGGAATGTCAATCCACTCTGTCTGTGTGTGATTTGGAAATATCCCAACAACCATTGGATAGATACCAGAAGATGAATGCTAATGATTCTGAAGATCCACTGGCTGTTCCTTTAGTTCCACCATGAGGTGTGGTTAGTAGTAAAATGTGTCCATAACTATTTGATTGGATTGTCATGAAGTTTGGTTACATATGTTCTCCTCTGGATGAGTTGTTACATTTTTTTGAAGAGAGCTGTAAAACAAGAAACAGTCCGATCACCCTTTAGCTGTATTTTTGGTTTTATTAGCAACTGTTAGCACACATCCATGCCAAACTAAGTTGGTAAACATGGTTAACATCATACCTGTTAAACACCAGCATGTCAGTCATTGTTAGTAGGTTAGCATAATTAATTAGCATTTATCACAGTGCCATTAGCATGGGTGCTGACTTTTTATCTGTTTTTTTGTTCGTTTTAACTAGTAAATTGAGAAAAAACTGCACAAGCAAAATGTTTTTTTGTTCATGCACTTAATGTATTATGGATATACCCAGGGGTGCAGATAACTTTTTACGAAGTGTGGTGTTAATAAGTGCAGTCTTCCTCACTGTCCTCCTCAGTGTCTCCTTCACTGTCCTCTAGTTCCTCTTCTTGCATGGTAGATGATGAAGATGCTGCAGATGCACCTCTCTGTCCCGGTTTAAGCCTCCAATTTGCTTTCTCCTAAACGTGTTGCCAAAACTGTGAAGTCCTTGCATTTCCCGAGGCCAAGTTGAAGGATCAAATACTAAGAAATTATCACATGACTTGAAGTCATATCTGATTTCAGATGTGGGAAGTAACTAAGTACAGTTATTCAAGTACTGTACTTGGGTACAATTTTGAGATATTTGTACTTTACTTGAGTATTTCTATTTGATGCTACTTCGTACTTCTACTCCACTACAGTTCAGAGGTAAAGGGTGTACTTTTACTCCACTACATTTATTTAATACCTTTACTTACTTTACAGATTTGGATTAATTATGTAAAATATAATCAACTCTTAAATCAGACTTTAGTTCCACTAATTCAGAAGCTACCCTGCAGTATACAAAGTCATTCAAACTAGCTGCACCTTTACCAGCTTTGATAACACTTTAATAATTATAAAACATATCATATATATTATTCTGAAGTGGACCAATCAGCACAATCACTACTTCTACTTTTGGTACTTTAACTATATTTTGATGATAAGACTTTTCTACTTTTACTTGAGTAACATTTTGAATTCCTACACAAGAGCTGAGTACTTCTTCCACCTCTGTCTGATTTCAAACTCTTCCATTAACACCCTAAGTTTGCACCTGTGTGATTGGTTTTGCTCCACCTTGTTGTAAATAAAACTGCAGCAGCTTGACCACAGCGCGTGAACTTTGTGATCAGCTGATTTTGCGCAGTTCTCCAGTGTGTGCGCGGGGCACAGCATGTGCACAGGGGAGTCTCCCTCCGCAGCCAGTTGACGTAGTATTGGTACAATTCTGTTGTTCATACCAACGTTAACAACAACCCCGTTTGTGAACAACTCTGTTGTCCAGTGATCTAAGCCTCTCCCTCCTGTAAAAGCTTCAGAGGTCCGTCGGGCATGGCCTGCGCGGCTCGTCGGGAGATTTTGGCCTAATATATTTTGGTGTTTTTGACAGTAGTTTACTCCATTGAGTGTTGACAAGAAACACGTGTAGGCGAAATATGTGTTCTGCAAAGGCGTGCAGTGACAAAAGTGACGTTAAGCATTTCAAATTTTTGCCGCGCATGCCTACCTGCGTACCAGTTATGTGCACCCCTGGATATAACTACTCTCACCAGCCAACACATGATTTGGACTTGTAG